CCAAGGATTTTCCAAACTCAAAAGTAAAAAATTTGACAATTTTACATTCTGCAAATTTTGCTTTGAAGATTTTTTTATGTCACTGCCCCTTTAAAAGCTAGAATAATTTATTAATTTTCTAGCTAATTTTTATCGATTTTTAGACGATTGGAACATTTACACCGTTGCCAATTATTCACCCTATTTCGCGACCGAAGAGATGTTTATGAGTTTCTGGTGGAAACCGAGGATCGTACGTTTTTTTCACTTAATTTTGAACACATTTTCTATCTAAAACTAATAACCCTATTTTTGTAGGGCCAGCTCGTCTACCCGCAATTCCCCGAGCCTTCCGGGTTGGATTTGAAGGGGAGAATGTGGCAGGACAAGACGTTAAAGCTCGAGATTGAGCAGTGAGTGACAGTTTTTGTATTTTAAAGGGATCAGCAAGGCAAGAAAAGGCCAACCTATCGCATTTTTTTTTGTACTTTGTAGTCTAAGTGACTCGTTTCGGTCGTCCTAAGCTGTGTAATGTTGCAATATCGAGCGTTTTTGGGTTATGCAGTTTTCAAAAATTTGGGTCTATATTTTGAAGAGACCTGATAGAGGTCGATTGGCTGATTGCCAATTAAAAATTTCTCAGCATTTTCTTGTAGTTTGTAGTCCAACTGGATATTTCCACGCCTTTTGAGTCATGTATTTTTCAAAAATCCATCACCTTCTTTCAGATGGCCAACGGCCCCATGGTACAACCGTCCAGTACGGCCATTCCGCATCGTTCGCGATTTAACAATTATGCCCGGGGCCACACTCACAATTGAGAGCGGCGTTGAGGTGCATATCTGGCCAAATGTACGGATCCTCGTTCTCGGCAATCTGATCGCCGACGCGACGTTCTGGGAACCGATTAGGTGAGGAAATTAAATTTTTAGCTAGATTGTCTGCCAGATAATGTAAAAAACTACTTACTGACTGTCAATTATGCCAGTTACAAAATTACCGTAATCATCTGGATCTCTATCGATTTTTGCTCTCAAAATTCTTGAAAATTGATGTTTAGTTTTAGTTTTAGTTTTTTGCCTGCGAATTTATAACAATAAAAGTACCCTCTAAAGTATATTTTTCAGATTCAAACCGATCAACACAACAGAATACGGAGAGAATCGAGGGTTGATGAGAGGACGGTATAAGAGGGCTATCGACAGGTAAGTAAATGGGATCGTAGTTTGTAGTCTGACTCGCAGAACGTCAAATGGCATCAAACATTTCCAATCTGGGCTACAAGCTGCAAATTGTCGACCAGTAGAACGATCTATCATACCAAATTTTCGATTATTTTCAAATTCGATTTACCAAAATGCATTTCAGATCCCGCCCCGATCCGGTCTACGCCTCATTCCCTCAACTCAATCGCTACGATCCGTATTACCAGAAGTTCTCGGTGCACCTGGATACAGATGGGGCAAAAACGTCAAAAGCCGGCTTTCTCCAGATCTACAATGCGACCAGTGGAGAGATTGTGCCGCTTTGTGATCGGCAATTTACATTGCGTAATGCACAGGTTTGTATAGGCCGCTAAACCGTGGCTTCTGGTCCTTTAAAGGGACATGGAAGGTTGACTCTGGCTTGCCTATGGATTTTGTCACAGCGCGGGCGCCTGGAATTCAATTGCTTAATCGATTACGCCACGTTAATGGCGGTTAGGCAGCGTGCGGCGCGTTACGGAAAAACACCTCGAAATATATAGTCGAAAAATCTATAGACTAGCCTTGTCTACTCCTTTAAAATAACAAACTGGCCTGGGCGCTACGGTAATTCCTTGAAAATTCTATCCTTTTTGCCATTTTTTATTTTCAACCCAAAAAATCGACAAACTGCCATGCAAACTACCGTAATCGCATAAAACTTATTGTATTTAGGTAGCGTGCCGTGAATTGGGTTGGCCGACAGAGAATGCGTATCAATGGGTGACCCCGAGATGGGAATGGAATCCAAAGATACGCATTCTGAAGACATATGCTGAACCGCGGGAGTGTAGAGGGGACGAGCCGAGGATGGATAAGTGAGTTGATGTCTTCAATGGCCCTTTAAAAACCTGAAAAAGCTAGTCAAATTCTGGTAAAAACTGGGGTTATGCAGTTTTCGCGTTTTTGCCTTCGCCGGTCCTTTAAAAACACCAAAATTCCGGAAAGACTGCATATGATGCATCCTGCTTAACAAAAAAACCTTCTAACAAAGTTGAATCATATTTTTAGCGCTATTTTTGAGTTATGCCGTTTTTCGAAGATTCAGTCTTCAATGTCCATTTAAAAGCCCAAATCTTTGGGGAAATTGAAGATTTTCATAGAACACGTACCAGTTTGGCAATTTTTAAAAATTTCTAGACTTCAATGGTCCTTAAAATGTTCTTTTCTTCTTTCAGATGCCCGCTCCGCTTCTCGGGAAACACTTCAGAATGGCAATGCATGGACAATGAACACTTCAATTATATCTATTGCGCGCCTGAGACGAGGGTTAACAGGTAGGACTTAATTGGCACCATCCCTTTAAACTCGAAATTTTTGTGATTTTATCGGATTTTGAGCTCCAGCAGGTTTTCGCGATCGAAATCTTCCTGTCACACTCCCTTTAAAACCCCCGTTTTAGTGATTTCATCGGTTCCTGGGGCGGTATCGTCTTTGCCAACGATCAGGTCGATCAGAATGGTGATAGTCAAGAAACGGAACGGAGTGTGTTGAAACATGTCGAAATCGTTGGAGGCGGGAGGGCGCATAATAGCTCATGGCAGGTACTGTCATTATTCACAACCAATTTATAAGCTTTTATACAATTTAAAATTACAAACTGATAACCAGTTAAGTAATCCCAAGTGTCACTGCCCCTTTAAAATCTTTGAAAATTGTAAAAATCGCTTTTGGGATTTTGAAAATTTTGCTTCTGGAGAATTTTTTAATGACTGACAGTATAACGATCGCAAGTGTCACGGTCCCTTTAAAATGTTCAAAAATTCAAAATTTGATATTTAGGGCGGGGCGCTTTGATGTTCCATCGTTCTCCATTTATCGAGGCGGTGAATGTGACAAATAGCAGTATGAATGGAATCGAGGTAAAAATCTTCTCTCTCTCTCGCTCTCTTTCGCTTTCTCTCTTGCTTCCTGGCTGCCAGACGCCCAATTCTGAAAGTTGGGAGCGAAAAGCAAAAAGGCTAGCGCGGCGGAGAGTCGAGCCTGGGTCCTCAGATTGGCAGGCCGGCGCGTTGACCACTTTACCACGGGCTTCTGGCCAGTTTTTCGGCAAATTCAATTTACTTGTTATCGATATTTCTCTCTCTCTCTCTCGCTCTTCCCTGCTCTCTCTATCACCCTCCGTCAGATCATAAACCCATCCGGCAACGTCCTCCTAGTCAAGTAACGACAGACAACAATGGTCGTGGTATCTCTATCCTCACTGCCAATCTACAAGCCAATAATGGAGGTTAGTCCCTCTTTTCATATCGTAATCATTTATCCCCTCTTTCAGACCCTCCCACTGCCCCTCAATCTCTTCCCTATTTCGCTAGAGGGCTAGTTGACATGTGTGCATCCACAAAGAAGATTGATATCAAGGGCCGTCTTCTTCTCTACTATAAATATGATGCCCATCCGGTGGATTGTGTCAAGATATTCTCTGCCGGAGGGAAGCATATCACCTTCAGGTTCTTGCAAGTGAGTTTTAAAGGGACCGGGAAGCCAGCAGGTCAGCTTCAATGGCGTAACTGGATAGACATGAGATTTTATTACACAGCGTAATCCGACAGACATAAAATGCCTAAATTTCATGCCGTAATCAGTTGGAAATAACATTTTTCCTATCGTGACCGGATAAAGATAGGATTTTATTACATAGCGTAACCGGATAAGCACAAATTTTTATTTCCTGGTGTAACCGGATAAGCATAAAGATTGTAAACTTCATTGCGTAACCGGATACAAATCACCTTTGTCCTAGTGAATTCTGAAATTTTCCAAATTGCTGACGTAACCGGTTATACATCAATATTTTCCATTTTCAGCGTAACAGTGTTGCCTCACTCGAGCATAGAAATCAATGTACTCCCTTAGCCTCTCTAAAGGCTTAAAATATGTATGAAACAACACTTTCTATTTCAGGTAAACCTCTACTCAGCCCCGACAGACCTTGGGCGTTCCGATGCGCTACAGAGTTTGCAGCCTACTGACAGTATGCAGCCCTCTTTGGGACATTAATAGCCAAATATGCCCGAGATATTGATGGGATACCGCAACCTGGTAAGCAGTTGGCACTTTAAAAAGACTGGAAAGTGACAATCTACAGGATTTTCCTTGTTTGACCGGGTCAGTACGTCAAAAACGGCATCTAAATCGCTTAAAAATCAATTTAAAGTATCATAGGTATAAATTGCGTATTTTAGACACGACCCCGTTCTCTCAACCACTCGACAATCCAAGCTTCTCCCTGCTTGCCCTCCATTTCCGAGGAACGGCCGCCGATCCGCATTACGGCTTCATAGCGGAGGTGGCTGTCGCGTCGACTCCGGCTGAAAATGGTTGGTTGGACGGCAAACTACAAGTTACAATCTAACTAATTCCGATTTTGGGACAATGTGAGACAAAACACAAACTAGAAAATGCGCGTTCAAGCTATCATTTTGGTCATTCATTTTCCGACCCACACGGTTAAGACAGACTACAAACTAGGAAATACAAATAATTGACAGTCTAAAATATAGTAAAAACTACAACTGGGCGAGTTGAAGTTACAAACTACATTTTCCAGCCGGTGTCGGCGAGGTGGTGATTGCGGCGGCTCGGATGGACAATAATGACCGGGGAGGCGTTCGATATGAGAATACTGGCGAATTGAGCCCGAAGGTGGTCATCGGTACGTTAGCTGTCATTTTCTACGTTTATCTGTCTGTCTGTATGTCAATTTAGCTGTCGATCTTGTTGTCTACTATGAAATCTGTATGTATGTCTTCCAAATTAGTCACTTCTCGCGATCTTCTGTTTGACCTCAAATTTACTTTTCCAATTTTTCCATTTCTCTGTTTGTCTGTCAGTTTGTCTATCTGTCCGCCAAACTACATTTTTCTCTTGTTTTCAGAAGAATGCTCAATGTTCCGCAACGGTATCCATTTGTATGGCAATATCTCGACCACAATGCACGCGGCCTCTTTCTACCTCCACAATACGCAACTGCTACTGTTTCGGGCCAATTCGTTGGCGCATAATCGGTACGTTTTGTTACGTTTTTGGATGGTTTGACTGCCAGACTGGCTAGCAGAGATTATTTGAGAATTTTTCGCCAACAAAAAGCCCGAAATTCGAGGAAAATCAAAACCTGCATAACTTTTCCAAAAAACTGCATAACCCGAAATAAAAACTACATAACTTTTTAAGGAGGGATTTTTTTACTGTTTTTATAGCTTGACTGGCAGACTGACTAGCAGGGTTTTTTGGAAATTTTTGAAACCCGAAAACGCGAAAAACTTCGGAAAAATCGAAAACTGCATAAACTCCAAAAACGATATAATTTTCAGGGGCGGTATTCTGATCGATTCGATCTCGGAAACAGCGATGGCTCGTCTGAATGCCGTCATCAAGGCCAATCTCTTCTCCTTCAACACGAACAGTTCTGTCATCGAGCTGAAGGGCAACGGATTCCAGGTACGCGTCAAGAGGTGTACTTTGTAGTCTACCACCCAATTCAGAAAGTGACGATGGTAAACAACGTGATTTCTCACAACTATGCCTTCTACCACGATACGGTCTATGCGGTGGATGTGATTGTGAATATGACGAGGAATACCATCACGAATAACACCGGGCTACATACGGTAGGTTTCACGGTATTTTGGAGACCGGGATTTGATAAATTAACTGTTTTCACCTGAAATTTATATTTTGGTTGCCACCTCGTAGTTTTCAACAAAAAATTAGACTACAAACTATGAGAACAAGTTATGCTGGTCTTAAAATACCCTGCTTCACTAAATAGAGAAAAATGCGGATTTAGGCTACAAAATACAAATTAAATTAATGCAGTTCGCTCTTTTAGCCGTCAATTGAAATTTTATAATTGAAAATTAAGCTAAAAACTACAAAATAACGCTTTGTGGGGTTTTGAATTCGATAATTTTAACTTTTTTTTTGTGAAAGACGTGGTTTCGGTCGACAATTAATCGATTAAACTCAAACTTTGACTGCAGAATACATTTTAAATTTATTCAGTTCCTTTTTTTGACAGCCAATTGACAGTTTTCAAGAAAAGTTTAAGCTACAAAATACAAAATAAAGTTATGCTGTTCTTATTTCCCCCCGAATTTTCAGCTTGACATCCGCACCGCAAAATCGAAGGGAAACTCGGAGCCGCACCTCTTTTTGCGGAACAATTTGGAATTCAATCATGCCCTCGGTCATGGCCATCAATATATCCAACGATATGGCCATGAATTGGGCTGGATGGACGAATTCAATTTATACAAAAGGCCAAAGAGACAGGTGGGTCACAGAATTTGCAGTTTGTAGTTTTTGATATATTTTTAGGTCTCCTACCCGGTGGTCCGTCAAGAGGGAGTTTCGTTTGATTGGTGGACGCATGTCGATCAGAACACGGATAGATATCGTAGTACGATATATGCCGGCAGTTCCAGGCAGCACTTCTTGGTAGGTTTTAAGGTCTGAAAATAGAAAATTGATGTTTTAAAGAAGGTTGTATTTAGGCTGGTAGTCAGTATAGCTATTCAAACATTTTTTGAGAAAAATTGAAGCTTTATGGGAATGGCGGCAATCGAACCCGGCCTCTCCGATTGACAGCCTAGACCTTTAGCCACTAGACCACAGAGGGGCGTTTTTAAAAGCTGATTTTTGAAGGGTATACTTAGTTACTGACAATTTATCGGAATTCCTTAAAATTTTGTCAAAAACCTAAAATAGCCTCGGAAGGAATTGAACCCGGATCCACCGCACGACAGTCTACGTTGTTAGCCACTGCGCCAGTTTGCAACTCGAAAATTTATTGCTTATAAAATTCTGCCAACTGCCTGTCAGCCTACATAAAGCCACATCCGTTTGTTTTCAGGAAAACGTGTTCAACAACCCGGCGAACGAGCTCGACCTGACCACCTCAAATCGGACAAATTGGGATATTGGAGCAGTGGATGCAAAGGAGAACTATTGGGGATGGCCATCAACAGAATCGGTAGCTGCTGGACGGATAAGGGATGGGGCTGATCTACCGTATCTCATACGTGTAGAGTACACTCCCGTACTCGAATCGAATACTTCTCTCATCGAAGGGGATTGCAGAGCGGGCTGGTTCCAGGTATGTTTTTTAAAAGGGCTAGACAAAACAGGGATATGGATTTTTCGTCGATCCCCCCGTTTTTCCATTGCGTAATCGATTACGCCGCAGAACGACTGTTGGACAGCGTGCGCGTCGCGTGACGGACGAACGCGAAAACCTATTGAAATCCATAGCCAACTTATTCAGTAGCCATCTTTCCGCATCGCGGTACGCAACGCGAGCGTCCGTAACTTCATGGCGTAATCAATTACGGCCGCCTTATGGTCGTGGCGCTACGTGCGCGTTGCGTGTCGTGCGTCTGACAAAATCCATAGAAAACCGATAGAAAAAATCCCAGGTTTTTAAATTTTTGCTGCCGCGGCACGCAAGGCGCGCGCCGCTTTTTAATTACGTAAGCGATTCCACCTATTAGCGGCTCAGCCGTCGCGCTTCGCGGAAAAATTTAAGAAAATAACAGCCTAAAAACCCATGCCTTAGATAGCCTTTAAGTTTCACCTTTTCTTATCTGGCAAACGTCTCACTGTATATCGTTAATTCTCACATTTCAGGTGGGAAAGGAGGAATACAAGAGTTGCTACCTGTACGTGGGAGGAGCAGCAACATACGAGAGAGCTGTGGAATATTGTGAAGAATTGGGAGCCTTCCTATTGTATCTCAGTGATGATGATCCGAGACAAAAGGAAATGGCCGAGAGGATAGATATGATGGAGAGAAGAGGGCTGACAGAGTTGGAACAGACGACACCTTGGCTCAGGGTACGTTAGGTTCTCCGGCTTCCAAGTACCTTTAAAAGGAGCGGGAATAATTTTCCATAGCTAGGCTGTCCTTTCTGGAGCACAAACTACAACTTAGACCACTGAGGAATTATTTCCTAGCCAAAATTAGGTTATGCCGGTTTCAACGCTTTTGTTGCGGGCTAACTGAAGATTTTCCGCTTCCAAGTGCCTTTAAAAGGCGCGGGGCCAATTTCCTTAGCTTTTATTGTTTTTTTTTCTGAATATGAACCTACAACATTCGGCATCTAGATGCTTTTCTAGTGAAAACCGGGTTATGCAGTTTTTGCGCAACCGCCACTAACATTTTTTTGGCTTCAAAGGTCCTTTATAAAGCGCGTGCAGTGTTTTTGCGTCCGGGATCGGCTCACTGGGCTCTAAACTACAATCTTTATATCTTAGGACAGTTTCTAGATTGATACTTCCGGTAGGCGGTTTTTAACTGATCATTCCCAATCACGATTTTCAGACCCGCGACGACATACATATCTGGGTCGGATCGGCCTCATTTTCCTGGCCACAGTGTGGATATCTCTCGACAAGGACGAGCAGGACACAATATGACAACTGTCAAGCGTTGCGGCCATTCGTTTGTGAGAAAGGTGGGCATCGATCCATTTCCAACACTTCGCAGACACCTTTTTTTTGAAAATTATGGGGGCTTAAAACTTATTTGATCTTCTTCTACATAAATTACCAGGCAGTAAGCTTATGAAAAACGTTTGAAATATCAAACTTACGCTAATTACAGTACCAGTCGCACTATACCAAATTTTCAGGCATCCTCGCCTACAAAGAGCCTCCGCTCTGGCGTCGTGAAGTCGTGCTTTTCGTCGTTCTTGCCGTTGTTGCCATCGTATTCCTGATCCTTCTGGGCTGTTGTTGGTGCCTCAAATCAAAGCGGCGTACAGAGGAAGCCATCGTACGCAAGAATATCATGAGGGCCAGTATGGATCTGGAGAAGTGAGTTTTGAGGGGTACAAATGGTCTCTGCTAGCTTGCCTGACTGACAGCTAAGAAAAATAACTCGTGTATCGTGTTAACTGACAGGCAGGCTACAAACTGCTGCTAATAATTTGAATTAAAGAAAGAAGAAAATGCGCTTCCAATCGGCTTATGGTTCTTCGCAAGGGCCGACCCACGAAAGTGCGTTGGGGAGTATATCCGCTTCCCCATTACACGCTTATGGCACTTCGAATTATTATTCAAAGAGGTAAGGTAGAAAAAAAGAATATATGTAAAAAATGGTTTAGAAGTCAGGGAGCTGATTCACCAACCGCCTCTACTAATACCTACGAGACGACGAGCGCTTTGTAAGTTGTAATTCCGGAATTTTGTCGTTGCCTGTCTATCTGTCTTTTTCTGGCTGCCAGATTGCTCGTTTCTAAAAGTTCCGAGCAAAAAGTAAAAAAATTGCCGCGGGTCGTTAGTTTGGCAGATTGGAACGCTAACCACTTGGCCACGGGATTCGCCGGCGTTTTTTTTCGGAAAATTCTTTGACTCTCTCTCACTCGCTCTCTCTCCTTACACTCTCTTTCCAGTTACTCCTCTCGTACCGGAACTGGCACCACTCCAACCCAATCTCGCACAACCCGTACGAGAAGCTCGACCCGGCCCACAGACTACACCCAATCTGAGACGTACTACGGTAGCCGAGATCCACCCCGGCAAAGGAGTCTCGTCAACTTGACCCCGAATCCATATTCTGATGGGGCTACGCAGTGCACCTCTTTCCAGCCAGGCAAGGTAGGTGGTTGTTGTTAGTTGTAGTTTGTATTCTGGGGTGCAGACTGTCGAAAAATCAACTATATGTCGAACGATTTATAAAATCGATACCTTTAGAGCCGCTCAACGGCCCAATCGATACATGACACTTCATATACAACCGCCTCTTCTTCCGAAGCCACGACGCCATCGAGCTGTTCTACATGTCCGACCGGGGATCGGGATTCTACGCTGACCGAGGGGTCCTGGTACGTTTTATGGGCCTTCTGGGGTACAAACTACAAAATATACAAAAATGCGGATAACTAGGCTTTTTCTTAAAAAACTGCATAACCTGCATAACCTGTATAATCTGGCCGACCAAATGCTAAAATTGTACCTTAACTGAGGTCCTGATATGTTTTATAGGCTAGCTGGAGTCCATACTACAAAATACACCAAAAATCTGGGGAAAAATTAGCGTTTTCCAAAACACGGCATAACCCGCATACCCCGTAATTTCAGGAGCGAAGTGAGCGACGCAATGCAGAGACCGCTGGTGGGGGATAGACAGCCGATGGCCACCTCTAGACATCGCCCACCACCCAGAGTAGAAGAAACCGGGCCCAGATTTACGCAGGCTCGGAATAGCCAGCGATATGCGAGGAATAGTCCGTTGATGTCGAGGTTGGTTATGCAGTTTTTGAGTAATCGTCTTCTTGTTTATAAAAATCTATTAAAATATTTACAAATATCAAGCAATAGAATGACAGAGATTTTAGCAATTCATATAATTTTTAAGTTATGGAGTTTTTCAGAAAAGGATTTTTTCGCCGAGAAAAATCAGTTTTGAGATTTTTGTAAGTTACGCCGTTGAAAAAATCCAAATGTTCGTCTGGGAAAATTGCTTTTTAATTTTTCATTAGGAAAAACTGATACACTGACCGACAGTTTATCTAATGCCAAAATTTCAGGTCAAACCCAGCCCTGTACAACCCGCTACCACAAATCCCCGCCATCCCCCCAATCGAGACGACCCTTCCAAGCCATCGGCCAGCACCAGCTAGACCTCTAGTTCCTCCAAGGACTAGTGTGGGCCAGAATCTGGGTACCGGACGCTCGCAAGGATACGGTATCCCCGTCACCCAAATGGGTCCTCCCACCAGATCACTTGTCGATCTGCATGCCCCCCAAAGGAGAGATCCCCTTCCACAGGTTTCTACAAGTCCCCATCCTACCAAGAAGCATATCGTCGAGACCACTATGTAAACTGACCCTAAAAGTATCAAAAAGTGCGTGGAAATTTGATTTTGAAACGTTTTTGGGTTATGCCGTTTTGATACTTACTAACTGGCTATTGGAGGTCACGAAATTGCCATAATGATCTGTTTTGCGCTGAATATTGCGTTTTGCCGTTTTTCACAGTGTTCTAATTGTCGATATAAGGTTTCCAAATTGCCACCATAATTTTTTCTCTAACGATTTTGTGTTATGCAGGTTGCAGCTGACCATTGAAGACACGTAAAATTCGATTTTCCGATATTTTGAAGTTATGCCGTTTTTGCAGGTTTTGCTGGCAGTTTACTCAAAATTAACCTCCAATATTTACTGTAAATCTATTTAGCCTAATGCAGTTTGCAAACTTGCGAAACGAATCCAACACCAAATCGATTCCCAGCATTTTCCAGTGATGCCGTTTTCTCAAAAATCCCTATTTTTAAGCCCCCGCTTGCCTCTAATGCCTTTCTATGTTTTTTATAATCTTTATTGAATACCATTTTGACCAATTTGAATTATTGTGACGTTTATAATCCCGTAATAATCGAGATTCCCCTCCCCCCTCATCCCCATTGATATCTATAGCTATAGCGGGTACCCTTCCACTCAAGTGATATCACACATTTCCCTCATTGCTCCTCACAACGCAATAATTCTCCAAATATCTTCGTACTTTGTGCCAATTAGAGTTTTCGAATAAATACTTTATACTATTACATCCTTTATACAGCCCGTGTAATACCGGAAAGACATTTGAAAATTCGTAAAAAATACAGAAATATCGGATTATTCAGCTTTTAGCCGGGGCTCACTTTGAGAATTCAAATCGGCTACCGTATCCTTATTATTGTTATTATTATTGTTGATGAGATCATCAATATCTTTACTGTCGTCCAGTGAAGCAATTTCTAAAAAAAATAAGTTTTTCATGTCAAAATTTTAAGATACCTTCAACTTTTTCTTCGACAGCCAATTCATCCGGTTTCTCGAGTTTTACAGCTGGGAAACGATCCTAAAATTATGCTTTATGTTTTTGACAAGTTTATATGGTAAACTGGCAGCCATTTCCCCAATTAAACCCATAGGTGCCGAAAATTAGTGGACCCCACCTTAGCCTGTATCGTCAAAACGACGCCAATGATGAAAAATGCGGCCTGGGTGGAGAATGCCTCGTGCAGGGAAGGGAATAGACGCTGTTGCATTTGGAGGGAACGCACGAAGAAGATTACCTGGATTAGGAAAAATATAAAATAATGAATTGAAGATTTACAAATTGCTGTAGATAATATGGTAGGAAAAATTCAGCATTTTTGCAAAAATTAAATAATTTTTATAGAATAAAAATTTTTATAAGGAATTAAAACTAATTGTTTTTGCGTGAAAAATACGATGCGATGCGGTAAAGGCTTTTTGCAAAAAATGCCGCAAAATTTTTGTAAAATCGGGTTTTAAAAGTTTTTGACTTACTAATCCAACAGCACAGCTCAAATTCCATAATTTCTTCACGGTTTGGGGTTTTGTGTAAAACCCAGAGCAGCTGGAAATCTCGATAAAAATAGAAGAAGAGAATAGGACTTACAATAGCATCATGGCAACCGAAATAACCTTCAAAACGTCATGGAGTATCCGCTCGTATTCACCTACGGCTCGGAGCTGTTGGATTACTAAAAAAAATAGGGTTTGATAAATGTAATATGTAATTCTATAGTTGTTACCCCTTTTTACTACCAGAAAGTAAGATACCTAACGGTCCAGCAGATATCTCGGCCATATTAGTGTCAACGGGGAGGTTTAGGCACCTACAAAACCAAAATCTAATCGATTACGCAATGAAATCACCCACCAAACATATCCGTGCATCCATAATGGACTGTAGAGGAAATCGTTAATTTGCCAGGACAAAAATACAGCCCATGTGAATCTATAAAAAGAGCAGGGATTCTTGAGGAAACACGATTTTTATAGAAAACCCACCTGTGAATTACCGTCAATATCTTTCGAAACTGGGCCTCGGTGGCCGAAATTTCGGCCGGATCTTCCGGAGGTAAGAATAGCATTTTTATTTGGTGTTTAAAGTCAGGGTATTGAAGCTGGAAGACAGAAAATAGGTAGAAAGAAAGAAAAGGGACTAGTAGACAGTCTGTGCGCGGATCGATCCTTCGAGGAAATGCAGCCAGCCGCGACCTCGTTTCTTTCCCCCCATAACCCAGAGACAGAACTAGGAAGACTGACTGACTGTTGGATCGGCAATTAGCAAGTAGGTAGACGGGAGAAATGATGGATTGACGCGTTTTGTATCCATAATGCAGATAATCATAAAATTTGAATACATTTGAAATATCGCGTTTTTCAAGAAAAATACCCGCAAAAATTTTTGCAGAACTAAACAACCGAATTTTAAACGCAGCATACTGCCACATGTAAAAAACAAAAATTACCGTAGTGAAAAAAGCCGTAATCTGCAAAAATCCAAGCCCTCATTTATTGATTAGGTTATGCGGTTTATGCAGAAATCGCAGTTTTTTTCTGAAAAATCGATCGCTGCGATCTGTTAGGGACTCTGAAATATTAAAGGGATCAGGAAGGCCCAGGAAAACCAGCATAAAACCGGCTTTAGTTCTAAAATCGGCATAAATCTTCTCTGCTCCCTGCTTACTCGCCCCAAACTCTGCCGATTTTTGATTAGCATTTCCGGTAGGCTTGTTGCCAATTCTAGATGAGGCTTGATCTACTGGGCCTTCCTTATACCGTTAAGCCCTGTTGTACCGTGTCGTGCAAAATCTTTGGTTGAGCTATGCAGTTTTACACAAGAACCCTAGAATCGAACTTTATCAATTTCTAAGTGCCTGCATTCTGTGTTCTGCCCATTTCGCAATAATTTATGCGTACGCATCCACTCTTTGGTGTTATATATACATCGAATACTATCTCCAAGTAGTAGTGGTATCCCGTAGTATCTAGTTGATGTAGATCCAGTCGGCGTTTCCGGGGAGCTTGATCTGACCGATGGTCTTGCCTCCACCATTCAAAGAAATCCCGACTTGCCAGTTGCCCTGAAAATCGGAAAATAAAAATGACAACTAGCAATGAAAACACCTAAAACTATAGTATATCCGTTTGCAGACGGATCTTCGTACTTTCAGCCGATTGACCGGATTACAGATAAGGGTTATGGGTTTTCAGTGGCACCCGGTCGCTCAGAGAGTTGTAATTTTTGGTTAAATTTCCTGATAAGGGCTGGGAGTTGCCAATGGACGGGGACGTTTTAGGGTGTGTCTCGGAATCTTGGCAGTCGGGCAGAAAATTGACGAAAAGCCGCTGGCTAGCAAATATTTTTCGAAAATTCTAAATCAAAACGCTAATTTGGAAAATTTTTGAACTCATAAAACTAGGAAATAGAGTTAAAGCAGTTACTTCGAAGATAGTTAAAGTCTTTGCTCGGCAGAAAACACACACCTTAAGAATCGAGTTGATAGCTCCATTGATATTCGGCAGAGTGATAGTGGAAGTGATGTTGAGATCCTTTTCAATCGTGGCCAAGTCATAGGTTCCAGGGGTTCCCATCAGCTTGCACAGATCAGCGCCCAGCAGGCTGCAGACATCGGTGATCTTGCTGAAAAAATGGCCAAAATTAATTTATATTCTAAACCAAAAAAGGGAGGTGAAATGCAAACTAAAAAACGGGAAAACGCACCAGTCCTTGTCGGGCAGGATTGGGTTCTTGCTCTTGCCATTATCACAGACGGTTCCGACCAGAAGGGAGTCCTTCTTCAGGGAGAGCTAAAAAACAAGGAAGTTAATTATATTAATGACAGATGCTTACATCAGCCTCATCTTGGGACAAATCGTTGGCGGCGGTGACCTTAATGTCTCCTGAAAAACACAAATAAAGTTATTTTTGCTTAAAACAAGCAATCAAAAGTTATGCCGTTTCTAAATCTACTAAATTGTCAAAAAACTTTATAACTTAAACTAGTCTAACCTCTATTATTTTGTATTTCTATAGCCTAGTAACTTATGCAGTGTTTAGAATTTTCAAAAATTGCCTATTTTTAGGTTTTAGTATTTTATTGTGTTTATTGGAGACCAGTTAACGAAACAAGGAAATAAAATAGTTTAAATTGATAGCTTTAAAAAGTTAAACTAACCCGAAACAAGCTTGATGACGCCGGGGAGGTTGAGGGACGGGGCATTCTTCTCGCAAACTGGCTGCATGTTCGCATCGTAGGTCTGGACGACGACGTTTTCGAAGTGGATCGAGAGGCTGGCTGGAAACAAAATATTTTAAAGAATAGGTAAGTAATCCGCACCATCATTAACGTTGGCCAGTGTGAAGGCATTTTCCTTTCCATCAGTGCACGCGGCCGAGATGGCCGTTGCGACGACGGCAAGCAGGGATACGTAGCGGAGCATCCTAGAAACAAAAAAAATAATCGAATTCCAATAAATTGACAGCCAATGCAAATAAAAATCTATATATCTAACTTTTCAGGGGGGCGGGGTGTCAGAAAAGGCTAGAAAATACAAAACACAACCTAGCCTCGCATCGGCAAAAAGTTATGCGCTTTTGTTACCCGAAAAACAGTGGGATTTAGTTTTTATGTGATTCCCAGTACTTTAGCAGCCCTTTCCGACAGATTTTTCATAGCAAATACTGTTTCCACCTTGAAAATAGCCTTCTAAATTAGATTCTCAATTTTTAACCAAAAAAGCTCCAAAAGATCATTTTTATACAATTTTTCCGTGCAAAAGTCAAATTTCCTCGAAAAATGGCTAAATTAACAGCCGTACTGCCCTGGAAAGTGAACGTCCCAACCAGAAAAAGATAGGGAAGCCTCTCTGTCCTGTATTAATATATACTAGAAGCCTTGTGCTTATCTGTCCCCTATCACCGCGTGCCGATGGGACGTCAAGAGGAAAAGCCGGAATGCGGATTGCGGGTCCAAGAAATTGGAGGGGGAACAGGATTCGAGGCTAGCTGTATAACACACTGTTTATCGGACGCGATCTTCGGACTTTTTGGGGACTGATCTTCCGGCTTCAACTTAGCTAGCGGGATCTCAAGGGTATCAAAATAAAACTCTGGGAATGCGCTATCAAACAAGTAATAAAGAATATTGATCGGTTTAACTAGCCTTGGAAAATTCCGACTTTTTGGAGAACTAATTCCAGGTAAAATTTCTTTACCATCCGATCTTTCTGATATTTTGCAGTTAGCAATAGATAGATAAGCACTAATTTTTGGCATCAAGATTTTCTAAATAACATGCAAAAAATTTTCTAAAAATTTTTCGCCCTTTCCAATTCGACGGAATTTGTAAGTTCTATGCTCCTATGGTACTACCAAATAAGATACTACAGCCAAAAAGCAAAAGTTCTGCATGACGTCCGGTGGACTTCCGGACGTCATGCAGAACTTTTGCTTTTTGGCGGCTCTTCCGTCCGGACTTAGCCACTAGACATGGGATAGACGGACTCCAATCCCCAGAAGGCCTTCATAAGGGTGCGCGCGAAACAGATGCAATACTTCAAAAAAAGCTCATAACTTTTTTTTCCCCATTTGATTGGATATTCGGAATCCCCGTCGCCGACTCTATCAGACCCACTTATTTTTGAAATGAAAGCTCACGCTAGGTTGGTGCACTTCACTTGTCAGGTCATACATATCCAAGTGTTGGATTTTATTATTTGTCTCTAAGGTCATATTGCTTAGGTAATGGTCCCGGCAGCTTTACAGGGTGTCTCAGGATTATCCGGACAAAGCGAAATAGCCTTTTTTTCACCTTTACCGCTGTTGTCTGTCAACCTAATGTATTTCATAGTTTTTGAGGCGTTTGCAATGTTCTGGGCAAAAAAATTTTTGAAGACGCATTAATAACTTCAGAATCGAGCGAAGAACGCGGTAAGATTTTTTGCCTCTTAAATAGCACGAAACTTGGGGCAAAAGTTCAAAAAGTGTTCCGAAGTTTTTCTGGGCAAGAGATGACGTTTTCTGGCAAAACGGACCTGTCTGCGCCAAGGTTTGGTCATGTCACTGATTATTTCCTAATTTAATATCAGTTTCCTTTGCATCGCTGATAAGGGTGTTTCGAAGGTTGCTCGTGCTCAAGCTCCTCAGAAACCAAAGCTAACTTGGTCTAAATGCTTGTACATCATTGTTACTGTAGCTATTTAGGTTTTTATCCTTTGAAAGTATCTCATCGGATTTTTAGAGTTCCTCCGGGCTAAAACTTGTAAGGTAAATACGGCGGCGCGTGACTTGATTTCATCTTTTTGGCTTGCTGATTTTTTCCTAGAGTCAACCTGGCGTTTTTTGGCCGGACTGAGCATGGACTTATTATTTCCGATCTCTTTTTGTGGTTACTTTGTTATGCCGGTTATATTCAAGATTTTTATAGCGTCGGAAACAGCATGCGTTTTGAGGGTTTGCCAGATGGGAGAAATTACGTTCAAACTTCTTCGATTTTTTTACGAAGCAATATGTCATAGCCTCGCGACATTTTCTTTGCCAGTGCCTCAAAAATACCTCAAAGATTGATAGGAGCTACAAGATGTGCGCATAGCACAGGAAAATAATACGAAGAAATGGCATTGAAATTTTGTCCGGATAATCCTGAGACACCCTGTAGAGCTATTTTTCGCTGCCAAACCACGTCCGCACCTCGCAAACTTCTTTGTCACGACTCTTCTTTTCTTGAATCTACCTATTCAAATTCTTTCTGAAACATTGAGCCTGAGGTGAAGTGCGCAATGGACTTTGTCGATCTACCCATCTCCTTCCACCGGCGTCTTATCGCCAGATTGACCCTGGTAAGGGTTTGCATATCCGATCCAAACTCAGTGCCAGGCGGGCTGAAGGCCTTAAGATGGAAATTCTTGGTTCCTTTACACGAAAGACGTCTAATCGCCCTGTTGGAGTCGGTGGATCAGCGGGCAGGCAAATACGAAGGGGTCGATATTGCAGCTAAGAATTTGACACCACAGTTGATACAATATGCCAACGCGCACATGCAAGCATATACATTTCAGGACTTCTTCGATCTGGAACTGGCCGCACAGTTGAAGTACCCCAATTTCACCATTAGTGTCAAATCATCAGATAGCAAGAAAATTCAACGTCTCAATAGAGCCACCCTCGCCCTCTTTGATGGATTACCTATACACCTCCGAATCGGACAGGGAATTGATGTGCCGGTGATGTCCCTGAACGTCTTCCTGTTCGGCGTCGTGCAGTACAGAATGGCCCTGCCCCCCCCCTCCTACGGGCCTGACCACCACACAGATGCCTTCCTGATGGCTTCAGATGGGATATTTTTATCCCACCGAATTACATGCCATCGAAACTAATACTCATCGAAACTACGACTCATCGAAATGACTGTTCTTTAGGATTTTAGGAACTCGAGGAACCAAATTTTTTCGACCCGAGCTTAAATTTTTCTTTAAATAGCGGATACGTTTCTAAATGGCTTTTTGCTATTCCGAAGTATAAAACCTACACAATAGACCTCCCCGAACCCCCCCAACCCCCCTAAACCCCCCTCCCAACCCCTCTCTGCTCCCTCCCCCTTTCCCCACTATCTCGCGCGAGAGGGGCGAAATAGTGGGGAAAGAGGAGAGACGCAGACGAACACAGAGGGGGGTTGGGCGGGGGGTTTAGGGGGGTTTAGGGGGGGAGGGTTCGGGAGGTCTACTACACAAATTTTAATGAAAAAAAACATTTAATTTTGGGTCGAAAAATGAATTTTCGGCCAAGAATGATTAAAATTTCGGCTTTTTCAAACAATTTTCTAACTTTTTTTAAAAAGACATTTGATTACTAGGCCAACCGGGGCCGCCAGGAAAAAAAAATTGGTGGGCAAAAACCATTTAGAACCGCATCCGCTATTTATAGAAAAAATTTAGGTTGGGTCGAAAAAAATTTGATTCCCCCCGCGAATCCTAAAAAACAGACATTTCGATGAGTCGTAATTTCGATGAATCGTAGTTTCGATGGGATGTAATTCGGTGGGATGCAATTCGATCAGATGTAATTCGATGGGAAGAAAGCTTTTCATAACGATTTTCGACGATAACGACTTTTCGTCACATTCTGATAACGCTTTTCAGACGACTTTTTGCAATTTACATAGCTGCATACCGAAAAAAAGCCCCACCTACGCCGCCCCCAGGCCCCACCCACGACGCCCCCAAAAGGCTCCTCGAGAAGGGGGGCTGGGAGGGCGTTTAGGGGGGTTTTTAGGGGTGTTCGCCCAGTGAAATGATATACATATATGAAGAAATTTTCAAATTTTTCGTCTATTAATCAATTAAAATAAGTAAAGACTATCAGTCAATAGTTTACAACCCCAGGGGAATATATTTTAGCGATTTTGACGCTCAATTCGTGTTTACCGAGTGTTTTTTAGCAATTCTAACCGGTTTCCACCGGTTTTTTTGGTCAGTATTATGGTTAGCAAGCACCAATAGTTGTCCTACAATCTTTACAGCACAAAGGTTTCGATAAGTTTTTACAGTTTTTTTCACCCAAATTGCCCTAAAAATTGAGTTTCATGGGTTGTTGACCGCATCTGAATGGTTGTTTATATTTTCGAGTCAGGTGAATCATTTATAAACCACATCTAAGCCCAAAAATCGCGTTATTTGACTAATTGCGCCAAAAAATTAATGGGTGCGCCAAATTGGGGTTTAGGGGGATTGGGAGGGGTTCAAGGGGGTGGGGGGGTTTAGGGGGGTTGGAGCGCCTCTGTAGGGGGGTTCGGAGGGAGGTTCTTAGGAGGTTCTTAGGGGGTTCGGAGGGGGGTTAAGGGGGGTTAAGGGGGGATTCGGGAGGTCTACTTTAAATGATTGGAATAATGAATAACAATAAGTAAAAACTGGTGCAGGGGTGCTGGGGAAGGGGCGTGGCCTGCCGGGGAGAGGGCCCCCCACTCGTTTTATTAAGGCTCCACTTTCAAAGTTAATTATTTTTATTGAAACGAAAACTTTTTACTACTTCTTTTCATCAGTTTGGGGGTTTCTGACCACGCTCTATCCGAATCCGAAGAGACCTATGCTTTAGCTCATTTCGCCATCGAGTTATAGTTGGCTTCAGACGGATGGACGGACACCGCCGCAAAATTTGTATAGTTGATGAGTTATTTTTCAAGTAGAAATATCATAAATAGTGTTGGACAGCACCCCAAAGAGAGCACCCCGGGGCGCCTTTAGGAGCACCCCGCCGCCCAGTGGGGTGCTCTGGAATTTTTATTGATGATTGCCCACCTGTTGAAATTTTATCTAAAATTTTGGAGGCTAGAGCACCAGCCACTGGGGTCAAAAAATTGTTGTTTTTTTTGCCGAAGCCTCATTTTTGTTGGGAGCACTTCCTAGTGGAGAAATGATGAATAAAAAGTTCTTCACGGCCTTCAGAACGCAAAAAGGAGGCTTCGGACCAAAAAGCAAAAAATAAAAATCGTGAGCGGGTCCGAACCCTCGTTAGATTCCACACACGCCCACTGCTACACCACTAGGCCACCAGAGCACGGTGAAGGGCGCGTGGGGAGGGCTTATCAAAGGCGCGTAAAAACTTTAAAGGGCTGTGTAAAAACTTTGTTGTATTACAGTATCCGCAGCTAAAAGTTACATCAATCGATTCGTCTCGTCGAGCTCTACAAGATGAGCTAACTTTCAATCCGAAATTCGAGGCCGAGCGGAGAACATTCCCTAGTAAAGGCACCCCGGGGTGCTTTTCAGAGCCCCCGGGGTGCTTTTTAAAGGCACCCCGGGCTGCAAAAAAAGCACCCCGGGGTGCTCTCTTTGGGGTGCTGTCCAACACTAATCATAAACCTCAAAAATACCGGCAATCAATTTCAGATCGAGACACATAAAAGCGCAGGTATTGCCAAAGGAGAAAACCTATTGTCAAAAAATACATCGGTATTTTGAGTAGCTCGGTAATTAGCGGATTGTGGGGCTCAATCACTGGTGGCCTTCCATTGACTTTTGTCCGCGAGGTAATTCTCCACATCGAAGATCTGCAAGATTTTAGTAAATAGCGCTCCAGACAATTAAGCAACAGCGCTCCCGATATGTTCAAAATTATTCTTTCGTCTTAATCGAACGGCTTCCTAGGATTTCGAAACTGAATTTCGACCGAATTTTACCACTCTCTCGACATTTTTTGCAGGTTTTTTACAAACGTATTTTTTCGCGCTAGCCGGCATTCTCTTTAGACCTTACCGTTGCCTTGCCGTACTTTTCACGCTCAATCGTCACTTCCCCATGTTTTCCAGTGGCCAAATCTTCGGCCGTAGCTCTTAGCGTTCCATTCTGGTCAATTTCATAAGTGACGCTGATCTTGGCCTGATTGGCGGGAACTGGTGCCAGTGGAATCGTGAACGACCCCAGGGTGGTATTCTTACTGAAGGTCTTACTTTCTCCTTCGTATACCTGAAAATCAGCTTTTCAATGTTAAGGAGATGTCGAATTGCTCTCCGTGATTTTGTGAAAATTTGGTAAATAGTGGCTAATATTTTAGACTTTCTATGAAGTTCATTGAACGCGGCATTTTCGATTCCGGACTATTAGTGGACCTATGATTCTCTACGGCCCCATAGCAAAATCTAAACCATTCTTATTGCGTTTTTCATAGTTTTTAGATCCTACTATATATAAAAAAATGGTCTGTGTGTGTGTGTGTGTGTGTATGTGTGTGCATTGCATGCAACTTCCGTCAGCGTGTTCCAGCAGTATCTCAATAAGGGGGGTGGTTAGGGGTATGTTTTATACCTCATTAGATGCGTAATGGCCTTGAGATGACTGCACACTCACAAAATTTTCAAAAATTCGCTGTTTTCGACGTTAAAATTAAGTTTTTGTTGAAAAATCAAGAACCTTCTTTGTTAGGAAATAATTAGCATACGCCGGAAGTCGCCGTAGCCTATATAAGGGAAAATAGGTGGCGTTTCTCATTTTTTGTCATCGAAAATCGCGAGAATTATGCAAAGCGAAGAATATCCTGGGATCGGCGGGGCCAGGGTTGAAAAGTCGCGAAGCGGCTTTTCAACCCTGGTATAAAGATAAAAATTGTCGAAAATTCTTGACTTTTTGGTCAAAAATGTATGAAAAATCACCAAAACTTCAAAATTATCCTACCTTATATAATTTGGTCGCGTATCTTTGTGTGTGTGTGCGGATGTCACTTTCGTCGCCCGATTTGAGGGCCTTCCCGTGTCCAAAATGCCCTAATTCTCCGTCACCCGGGGGAATCGACCCTCCTCTTTTCGATGGCGTTTTCAGAATTCCGATAAAATCTAAGTTTACAAAGTTAAAGCCGATTTTATTGATTTTGGAGGGTCCGGGAGAGCTAATTTGCATAATGTGAAAAAATAGAAATTTACTCATTCTTGCCAGTTGCACTCGTGAGTTTGCTCGGGGGAGGGGAGGGGGTCCGAAGGACCCTGGCAATCGGAAAGTCAAATTTCTCATGCAAAGGCATGATTCCAGCGCCCAAGGCCCGCGAAGCGGGTTTTGGGCGCTGGTATTTTATAACTTTGCAGCAATCAAAAACTACTAAAAATACCATAAAAATATAGGTGGAAAAACAGAAAGTGCTTTCCACCCTGCTAACCCCCCACTAACAGTCCAGAACCGCGCCTCGTCTCGTACTGACTTGAGAAAAAAAAGAAACTACCTGGATATGGCACTCCTTCTGATAATCGTAAGGATTTGTCAGGCTTTCCGTTTTCTTCACTGGATATGCCGTATTGCGCGGGATCAGTACCACGACACGATCGCGAATTATGCCGACGCCTATCGTCAGCGGGATCACGTCCGTGAACTTGATATTTTTTACACGTTCGAATTGATTGCCAACCGCTTTGGCCGCCTAAACTGCCTATATGTTCCCGTTTAAAAGGCCGTTTGCCAGAGAGCCGAACTAGGCTTGTCACAGTTTTCTTCTGCCCCGTTTTTTTGAAACCATCTGATAGAGCAAGTTCTAATTAGTAGGGCTGCATAGTTTTTAGTGTTTAAAAAGTTCATTTTTGGACTTTAAATGACTGTTAAAGCTACCCACCCCCAAAAATTATCGTTGGAGTTACTGGAGAGTTGGAGAGTTAGTCAGCCAAAAACTTGCTGAAAATTGTATCAATACCTAATAAAAGAAAATTTGGGGCGGGGGTCATTTCTCTAATACATTACTAATTGTAAGCCAAAAAACCGCCGGAAATAGGAATTTTTCGCCAAGTTGGAAAACACATCATTCTATGTAGAATTTAATTGCGCATCTTTTAAGTGTATTTCTAGAGTGGGGACAACTTCATATTAAATAGTAATTCTTGAAAAACTCATTTGAGTAGGCGAGATTCCGATGTTCCGGCCATTTTCATGTGAAATGTATTAGAATAATGATCCCCGCCCCAAATTAGATATTATCACAAATTACAACAAATCATCAAAACAAATTTGCAGCGAATTTGGTAAGGTAGTTTTCGAGATAGTTTTTCGAGGCAGTCAACTTTAACGGCCATTTAAGCCCCAAAAATGAACTTTTAAACATTAAAAAACTATGCAGCCCTACTAATTCGAACTTGCTCTATCAGATGGTATCAAAAAAACGGGGCCGAAAAAAAACTGTGACATGCGATACTGGGGACTGTTCGGGTGACTCGCGGATGGCCTTTTAATAAGCCAGCAATGATGACAATGCCTTTTGATTCGTGAGATGAAGTGCCTACGCCCTTCGTCTACTGTAATCTACTCCAGGGCTCGAACCCAGCCGCCTAAAACCTGACCGGAGCTGCCCAATCAAGTGTGGGCATAGGCTTAGGTTTAGGCTTCTTTGTATAGAATATTTTCGTCAGGAACTATACCTGCAATGCAGCCCCAGCGACGACGGCTTCTTCGGGGTTGATTGCAGTGTTCAGCGATGCGAAATTGAACTTCTCCTGGAGCATCGAGCGAACTTTTGGGATGTAGCTCGAGCCACCAACGAGCACCACTTCGTCTATCTGGGGTTCCCTCATTAAACGCTCAATATCCTTTTGGCAAACCTGACTGGCTTTCAGGCCTGAATCTTCTAGTGCATGTTCCACAGGGAGAAGTGTTTTTTCAAAAAGTGTTTTGCATAGTTCATCATAGAAATCACGGCTCATCGTTTTGGTGTAATCTTTTTGATTGGCCAAGACCGGAACATCAATTACCGCCTGAAAAGTTAGTTTATTTCGGTTGATCTAAAATGATGCATCGCGCCGGAGAATGCCTGATAAGCAATTCTCACCTCCTTCTCTTTGGAGAGCTGGATTTTAGCAGTTTCGCAAGCGAGGCGTAATCGCGAGGACGCTCGTCCATCTAATGTCCCAAGATTTCCATCTTCGATACAGTATTCCAAGAGCACTTTGTTAATATCTTCGCCGCCAAGGTGCGGATTGCCACATGTCGATTTGACCGTCATCTCGCTTCCGTAAACTTCCATGATCGATACATCAAAAGTTCCTCCTAAATCCTTGGCGTGTACCACTCCAAATCATCAAAGACAATTTTATAGACCCGAAGTGCCTATTTAAAAGGCCGTCGGCGGGTCACCCGAACCGACCCGCGGACGGCCTAGGGCTTGGCACAGTTTTTCCACCCTGTTTTTTTTTTTGGCGCCATGTGAAAGAGCATTGTCGAATTAGTCGGACTGCATGGTTTTGAAAGTTCAAAAAGTTCATTTTGGGACTTAAAGCGCACGTTCAGGGAGGGGCCGTGTACTCGTCCCAACGTGTACACCCTATGGACGTAGGGACCGCGCGCACTGCCTGCCCGTGCTGTGACAGGCCATTCCCCGCCCCTTGCGGCGTGGGGCGCCCCTTACCCCCCTCGCCAGGTTTTAGCTGTGGCTGATTGGTATCCATCCGCGCCTCCCGAGCGGGGGGTCCGGGTTCGACCCCCGGCCGCGGCAAAAATCTTTGCTTTTTGCCAAAAAAACGTCCCTGAACGTGCCCTTCAAATGACCGTTAAAGTCGCCCACCCCAAAAAATTTCTTTGAATTTACTGAACCAAACTTGCTGAAAATTTGTGTCAATGCCTAATTTGGTGTGGGGATCATTTCTCTAATACATCGCGAAGCTCGAAAATGACCGGAACATAGGTGTATTGCGTACGCAAAACAGTTTTTCCGTTCTGTCCGGAACTGGGCGATCGGGCGGCTCTGTTGATTACTGTAGAAAGATGCGCAAGAAAATTCTGCATCGAATGGTGTATCAAACTAGAGCCGCCCGATCGCCCAGGTCGCGCTATAAAGCATTTACTAGGCAAAAATTGGCCCAAAAGAGGCCCCGAAAACTTATAAAATTCAAAATAACGAAATCTGAGGCATTAGTTTGCATGTAGTCATCATGCTGAAGCCATTGCAAAAAAGAGCAAAAAGAAATTTGAATTGAATTTTATAAGTTTTCGGGGCCTCTTTTGGGCCAATTTTTGCCTAGTAAATGCTTTATAGCGCGACCTGGTCGATCGGGCGGCTCTAGTTTGATACACCATTCGATGCAGAATTTTCTTGCGCATCTTTCTACAGTAATCAACAGAGCCGCCCAATCGCCCAGTTCCGGACAGAACGGAAAAACTGTTTTGTGTACGCAATGCACCTATGTTCCGGGCATTTTCGAGCTTCGCGATGTATTAGAGAAATGATCCCCACACCAAATTAGGTATTGACACAAATTTTCAGCAAATTCCGTTCAGTAGCTTTCGATATATTTTTTGGGTGTCGGCAACTTTGAGGCCCATTTTAACCTCAAAATTAAACTTTTAAAACTTTCAAAACCATCCCACTCTACTAATTCGACCATGCTCTTTCAGATGACGTCATAAAAAATAGGTCGAAAAAAACTGTGCCAAGCCTTGTACGCGTCGGTCGCAAACGGCCTTTTAAGCGGCAGAAAGGTCTTTCAAAACGTTGAACGTGCTAACCTCCGAAATCGTAGACGAGAATGTTCCTTTTCTTCTCACTGTGCTGTGCAAGTCCGAATGCGATCGCCGCGGCCGTGGGTTCATTTAGAAGTTGTATGACTTCGAGTCCAGCCTTTTCGGCGGCTTCTTTGGTCGCAGCCCGTTGCGCATCATTGAAGTATGCAGGAACCGTGATCACCGCTTTCTTTACCGGTTTTCCGATGTAGGCCGATGCCCGGTTCTGAACTACGTGTACGGACCGGTCAGGCAAGGGTCGAGAAGCTAAATTCAAACCATACCTTCAGTTCGGTCAGGATCTTTTCCGAGATATCAACGGGGGTGTACACCCGTTTGTCACTGTGTTCAACCTGAAAGGCCGGCTCCCCAGCTTGCTCAATGACCTTGAACTCCCATAGCTTTAGGCACTTCTCAAGTGCCGGGTCTTTGTAAAGCCTGCCCATCGCACGTTTGGCTTCTAGAAAATTTAGTTTGGCACAGCAAGCGCTATACGGCAGCCGGAAACCGAAGGCTTCCGAAAGATCAATAGCGAGAATGGCGAAACGCTTCTAAATTACATAAATCACTGACCATATATAGTATTCCCAGAATTCCGGGTTGCCTGCACCTTGGCCGACTCACCGACAAGCACCTTCTCGTCGTGGAAGGCCACCTGGGATGCCATCGTTGTCTTCCCTAAACTTTTAATTTGGGGACCCACAAGCCAAAACGCAGAAAGTCCCTCTGGAGCGATCGGCGTGACAACTACAGGGTGACCCAAACAAACCCCCCCCCCACCGAGCCGTCCGCAGTCGATTCCGATTTTTACAATTTAGGTATCTATCGAAAGCTCTCGAAAAGGCGAGTAAACAAGGAGGTTTCATTTTTTATTATGCATTTTTATTCGCTAATTTTACGTCCAAAACCCATGAAAACTGCTGACTTATGCGAGATCTGCATGCTAATTGCGAAATTCTTGTTGAAAAATTACCGGTTTTTTAGGAAAATCTTAAATATCGATGGAATCAGATTTTATCTTAGAAAATCAACCCTCCTTTTTTCTCGCCTTTTCGAGAGCTTTCAATACGTAGCTAAATCATAAAAATCGGACTTGACTGCGGATCGCTAGGTAGTGGTGGTTTTTGGGACACCCTGTACAGGGTAAGCAATCAAGAAAAAATACAGGGTGGGTCAAAAAACGCCAACTTTGCGCCATATTATCTCGCAAACGGTAGAGAATCGAAGGTGCGTTACCTTGCCAGAATGCTTAAATATGTCCAAAGCTCCCCGGTATTCAGAATCTAAGCAGAAGAAAAGAGTATCGCGTCGTAACAGAGGATTGTCTCCACCTTGCATCCGGTCAAGCAAAAAGTCGATCGTCAGCCTGTATTCTGGCCTGGAGAGGCATCTCCCCCCATCAAATTACATGAAATGGTGTAGCCAAAGATTATTGGAATTGTTTCTTATTGATTTGTGAGAGTATTTAATTTTTTATTTAAATGTTACCCAAGTGAGGCTATAATTATGTCCCTTTTTCAAAGTGCTTTGGGAAAATATTCCTAAAAAAATTTTTGTCCAGAGAATCACAAAAAGGGTTTGTGGTATGACATTTTTGTAGAATACCGCTACTTTCCCTTATAGACGCTTTCAATGAACACGGCCAGAAATCGAGATTTTCGAAAAATTTTCACTGAGGCTATAATTATGTCCGCCAGTGTAGAAAAATGAGGAGAACTCGATCCCGTTTACCCCGAAAGCCAATCTGGCGTGGTTTTCGAGATAAAACGCGTCAAGAAATTTAATACACCCACTTACCATGCTCATCGGCAATGATAACCACTTCATCGCCAACGCACATACCAACCGCAGAATAGGTTGTCCCGAGGTCGATGCCAATAGCCGGCTCCGTGTTTTCCATCCTAGATTTCATTTCGGCTGATGTATCTCACTTACTGGAGGCGCACTCGTTCTTTTTCCTTCTCTAGTTTCCCGATCCTTTGCTCGTATTTCGCGCGCATGCCCTCCTGCTCTTTTTTCATTAGCTCACGGTCGATGGCTTGTTTTTCCATTTCTGCTTGCAGCTTCCGCATGCTGGCTTCCATCTGTGTTTTCTGCTCGAGTTCCTTCTTCTCTAAACCAAAAACATTTTAAGTCTTTTGTTTCAGTGGAAAACTTTGAGGATGGTCAAACAAGATTATTATCTTACGTATTTCTGTGCTTACCACTTCACTTGCACGTCTAATGGAAAGATTTCTTGGTACACATAGGATAACGGGGGGAAATAACGGGGGCACTCAAACTTTTTATATGATAAAAGTATTTTTAAATATGCTTTTTTGGGCTGTAAAAAAAAACTCTTAGTATATTTTTCGGTCCTCTATCGAATGGCATTTTCAAAATCTCGAAAATATTCAAAACGCCGAAAATTTTTTTCCCCCTGTTATCCTATGTGCTGCCCATAGTTTTCAAAAATAGTTTTTAAGCTATAAAACTTTTATAATACGTTTTTTCGCGTTGTAAAAAAATCTCTTAGTATATTTTTTGATGTTCTATCGATTCGCGTTTTCAAAATATCGAAAATCTCAAAATTTGGCTTCCCCGTTATCCTATGTGCTGCCCATGGATTTTGATCTATTTTTGTTTATTCGATAAAAAATTTCATTTACGTTATTTCGGGCTGAAATTAATTTTCCTAGGGTAGTTTTCGACGCTTTATCGAATGACGTTTTCAAAATACCAAACATTTCGAAAATTTCGAAAATTTGACTCCCCCGTTATCCTATGTGCTGCCCATAGATTTTCCTCAATTTTTGTTTATTCAATAAAAAATTTCCATTACATTATTTTGGGCTGAAATTAATTCTCTTAGTATATTTTTCGCCGCTCTATCGAATGGCACTGGCAAAATCCCTCAGTAATTGCAAATTTCATAATAATGAGTGCCCCCGTTATTTTATCCCCCCCCGTTACCCTATGTGTACCGATTTCTTTGTGTTCTCGAATAAATTACCAAGATCGCGTTTCCGTGCCGCTGTGTCACGCTCGAACTGTTTCATAGATGCACTGAGAGCTTCTTGCTTTGCCAAAACTGCTTTCTCCTTTTCCGCAGCCTCCTCTCTCCATTGTTTCAACCTCTTTTCGTCATCGGAGTTCTTCTTGAGTAGGTGTTCCGCTTCCGCCAGCTTACGCTTCATTTCTTCTTGAATTTGTTGGGCTTCCCTAGTGTGTTCCTGCTTCTGACGATCCATCTCGGCGGCCATCCTTTTCATGTCGAGCGTGGTGGTCGCGTTGCGAATGAACTCGCTTTCCATCGCCTAGATAGGGCGTTGCAGACAGAAAATCTTATTTACCTTGAGGCTTCGGTTCAACCTGCGCTCGCGGTTGCTTTGTATCTGACTGGCCACGAGCTGTGGATCTTGTTCGGGTTGCGCCTCAAGTAGTTGATCGATCATCGCTTGCTGCTCCACCTCCAAATCCTTTTCGACCTTCGCATAGCACTCGGCAAGCGCTTCTTCGAGTTCTTGCTGACTCTGCACAGTTTTGCTTTTCTAAAAATAGGGTTTTTTACGCGTAGCCCGACATACCTCCTGGAGTAAAAGGCTGAAATCTTCGATTCGTGCATCAATTATTTCCGCGCTGCGGATCGCCACCCAATGTTGGGAGTTGCTGCGCAACTGATCCTCCAGTTTTTCCTAAATTCACTTTTTGGGAAGTTGCATTCACGGCTAGGTCTATTTGAAACCACGCTCTGTCTACACGCTTATCTGTTGGACGGCGGTCTGTTGGACGACTGTGCTTTTCCGATCAAAGGTAACAAAGACTATTTGTCATACTAAAATCAATTGTCATATGCGCATCCTACTATATATAAAAAATGGCGTCCGGTCATTACCCCGAAAAGTCACTACCCCGAAGTCGTTTACCCCGAAAAATGACAGCATTGTTTTTCCCGGACAATTCCAGTTTTCATTCGGATTTCCTGCGAAATTCACGCAAATTATTTCGGGGTTGTGACTTCACCCCTATAAAATATAGGACAGCAAATAGTGTCCCTGTGTGTGTGCCACTCAGGGGGCGTAGCCAGAAAAAAATTTCGGGGGGGGCCCCGAAAATTTTTTTACGAAAAACTCAAAAAATTAACGAAAAAACAGCGCCGCAGGCGAAAAATTTTGGAAAAAAGGCAACATAGCTCTATAAATAGCAGTAAAAACGTGAAAAAATAGCGCCGCAGGCAGCAAAATTTTTGAGAAAATAAAAATCATAAGGGACCCCCCTTATGAAATTTTTGGGCCCCGGCCGATTTCGGGGGGGGGGGGGCACCGGGCCCAGGGGGCCCACCTTACGCTACGTCCCTGGTGCCACTTTGCCTGCAACTTCCGTCAGCGTGTCCGGAGGGTATCTCGAGAGGGGATGGCTTTGAGGAGGTGTTTGATACGTCATTAGATGCGTAAGGGGCAGGAGACTGCACACATTTTAGATTTTGTAAAATATGGTGTATTCGAAATTAAAAGTAAGTTTTTCATGAAAATTGGGCCGCACTCTTTGTTAGGATAAAATTAGCATATGCCGGAAGTTGCAGTAGCCTATATAAAGGCTTCAGGAAACTTCTGTCATTTTTTGTTATCGGAATATGGGCACAATGGGCACAAAATGAAGACCATCATAGGATTAGACGGGGCCAGGGTTGAAAAGTGGCGAAGCGGCTTTTCAACCCTGGTTCTATTTAATGTTGGCTAGGATACCTCCAACAGTTGTACAAGCTTCTCCTTGTTTTGCATAATGACCGTGTAGCTGTCGGCAAGGAATAATGCAGTTTCTGAAAATAAATGCTAGGCATATGAATAGCGGCACCTTTTTCGTAGAAATCGATAGCGGCTCGCTGAGCCGCCGAGTGCAGGGCCTGCACTTCGTGTCGCGATTGCTGATGCTCGAGTTGGCTAAGGCCAGGCTAAATTATCGAAAATATATGGAAGCTCCAAATATCCGGTTTACCTAGATGCGCTTACATAGGTTATGTCAGGTTGGAAAGAAAGTAATGGCACAAAATCTTCGAACCGCTCGAAAACCCGTAGAAAGGTCCAATTCAAACGTTCGATACATGCTTCGATGGGGCGTGGGATGCTCTACTTTGGGAGGACCCACGTCGGACTCGAAATTTATGGAGGCCAAGATATAGGCCCGAGAAGTTTCAAAGAAAATTGGGTGCGCGCTTCTAAGCGTCGTGTCTCTGCATACCGCAATTTACATGCGGTACCTATAACCTCAATCGATAGCTCTTGTGCAGGGTTGGTCATTTCGGGCCCGGCCCGCGGGCGTCCGGGGCTGGACGGGCCGGACGGGCTGACGACCGAATTTGCATAAAATTAGCGGACGGGCTGGGACGGGCTGGAGAGCGGGCTGGACGGGCCGGGCTGAGCGGGCTGGAGCGGGCTGGGGTTATGCAAATCTGCTATGTTAATTACATCCAAGGATGAGGCAAGAGCCTAGCGCGGGGAAATAGAAACTATTTTCATAGTATTGTACACTTTCTAAATATAAACCTGCGGCAAAAAAAATTATCAAATTTTCGAAAATTTTTGATTTATTTTGGTCAAAAACTATGAAAAATTACCAAAAAAGTCTAAATTCGCCAATTTTCACAAATTTGTACGATTGTTATTGTTAGTTTGAGCAATCAAGGACTACTAAAATTAGTGTAACAATACACCTGTATCTTTAACAGATCAATGAAATCAAAATAAAAATAAAACTTGGCCCTCCCCCCACAACACCAAAATGAGAGTCCTGCTAACCTGAAAACAATAAACATCCCATAAATCCTTATTAAACAAGGGCATAAAACGCCATCTGATCACATTACCTTCTCTACCCCGGGATGATTAACATAGCAGATTTGCATAACCCCAGCCCGCTCCAGCCCGCTCAGCCCGGCCCGTCCAGCCCGCTCCCCAGCCCGTCCCAGCCCGTCCGCTAATTTTATGCAAATTGGGTAGTCAGCCCGTCCGGCCCGTCCCGGGCTGGCCCGGCCCGTCCGTGAACAGCCCTGCTCTTGTGGATGTGGAGATCGTAAAAATCGGACACTTGATGGCCGAGATATGGCCCCATGAAATGTTGCCCATTTCCTAGAACTTTCCCCCGAATTCCCATACATTTGGTCGGCGCGAACCAAAAACTGCGGCTTTATTCTCCAGCCCCCGAGCAAAAATGGAGAACATGAATTGATTTTGGAGGGCCCAGATCTCAGCCATCCAGAGTCCGATTTTGATGATCTCAACATCTATCGATATCTATTTCTTGAGATCTAGCGATTGGCGTTAAAGGTACCGGATGCAAATTACTCTATGCATAGATATGACGCTTAGAAGCTCTTCCCCACTTCCCGAGGTAGAGCTTCCCACGCCCTATCGAAGCATGTAGACCTCCCGAACCCCTTCGCCCAACCCCCTAGGACCCCCATCCAACCCCCACAACTATGGGGGTAAATGGGGGGGGGGGTTCGGGAGGTCTAGAAACATGTATCGAACATTGAAATTAGATATTCCTACGAGTTTTTCGAGCGGTTCAAAGTTTTTGTGCCATTACTTTCTTTCCAACCTGATAAAACGCATGACTGTGTCCTGAAAAAGCCATTATTACTTGGAATGGTTGGCTACGCCGTAACCACTCTTAGTGCGGATTGTATGGCCCATGTTGACGCTATGGAACTTGCCTGGATATGCTTTTGATATACGCGCAAAGCGTCAGCAACTGCTCCATTAATACGCTCATGCTTGTAGATCTCCTTATTTGCTGCGCACTTATCGCTGTTTTTTTCCTGAAAATATTACTGCTATGGGGACGCAAACGACTGCTTGCCTGCAGACCTTCGCAAAAGTCACGGAGATGTGCGGCGAGGGATTTCGTTTGTCCGTATCTCTGCACTGCAAGGTATGCCTTAAGGAAATCAATCCAGCTAAAATGAAAGATAAAACCTCTTGCGCTTGCCCAAGAATCGTCTCAGCGATTCGCGCGTACTCGTCGGGAGGAACTGTTGAGAAGGTGGCGTACTGAAACAAATTCCCTATAAATCACAAGCGTGAGTTGCCTCTCGCCATCCTTCGTTGTACTTCGCGATGCCAGCTGCCCTTGCGCTTTCCAGTGATTGCAATTTGAACGCCTAAAAATGTATTATGTCTTCTGATTGAACAAGCCTCGTAAAACCCTCCGATTTGGTCGTGGCTTCTCGATTCCATCTGCTTGAAAACCTCCTGAAATCGTTATGAGCGCCACCGTCTATCAGGTCTTGCAAAAGAAAAAACTCGTCTAACGTGTGCATTTTTAGGAAATGTCCTAAATGTATAATTTCCTAAAACCTGAAATGAGCTGATTTATCCGGCTTCCGCGTGTTAATTAAATTTTAACGCAGGAACACCACTCGTTTTTAGCAACCCGTGTAATATCAAAATTATGCCAGACATTCTAACAAAACGACACCCGCCCAAGCGCTTTCGAATTGTGTAGGAACCATCCCAATCCGGGCTTCCACCGGACCGCTATAGGGGGAGAGGGGCTGGGTACACGTAGTAAATATTAGAAAGGCTGAAGTGCCGCCGCTTTTAACAAGGGGTGTTTATTGCGGATATCTACGGAAAGGCTGTAGGAGTAGTTTCGCAACAAGTACCTGCGCATATTTCCCGAAACCCGGGCCATCCAGTGGGACCCCCATAGCTCGCTTCGGTTGAAGCGAACGCAATACATGACCTGCAGCGGCGGAGATAGCTTGCAAAAATTCGGCACCGCATTCTAAAAAATCAGAAGGGTTATATCACACCTATCGGGGAGCAACGCACCCCCGGCCAGGATTTCCGCATCAGCTTGAGCCAGTCGGTTGTCCGGGCGTGGCACCAGGAAGGATTCGACCTTCTCGAATGCCTCAAGGCATCCGGTGATCAGTTTGTACAGCCGTTGGGCTTTGGACGAGCCGGCCAGGAGCCGCTGCAGAAATTCGGGGCTGAGCCCGGACCCACTGATTGCATCCCGGATTAGGAACAAGAAATGCTAAAAGAAAAATATGGTGCTTGCCAACAATAGCCATATTATCATAACAACAAGGTGTCCATATTAAAACCTAGGCAAGGGGCTCAATTTGTCAACCTTGATGCCGCAAAATCTTCAAAGGTACTATCGAACCTGACTCAGATGATTGCCGGTCCGCTCTCCATAGTCGATGAAGGTGCTCAAAGCTTCGAAGTCGGTAGAGTCCAATTTTTGGCAGACGTTGAAAATCTAGAAGCGTTGCAATGATAGATGTAAAGAGCCACACAACGTGGCTATCGAAGTAAACAACAGCGGCTTGAATTACCCCCACCGCTCAGCGCAAAATTTTTCTTATGCGCTCACTTGGACCGAGGAGAGTAGGAGCGAGGTTGCGAAATAGTTAATCGATTCATCATTTTCCGACTGAAGGTCAAAGGTGCCCTGGGTATCCATGAGGATGACAGCCAGCTAAAATTAACATCGTCATTCGGGCCAACGGCGGAAATCCCACCTCTTCTCCATTCGCCATCTTGTGGATGAACACCTTGTTCCACACCAAAATCCCGACCGTATCACGCTCGTAACCTTGTTTGAATGCGATGCCGTTCGCTCCCCTGTAATGTGAAAGTCAAGGTCAAAGCCTGCAGGCTTTAGATGGGACTTTTGCACAATTTCGGAATTCATAATACCGGATTTTATATACGGGACGTTAGAATAGCGGTCAGAATACCGGACATTCAAAATGCCGGACGTTCATAATGCCAGATATGCAAATCATGTTGGGTTCTAACCTGGTTTTCCAAGAAACATAAAAAAATTCTGGATAAGAATAAATAGCCTCGTAAATGTTTTTATGCTAGTGCAGCATAATTCAACGATAATGAAAAACTTTTTTAAAAGTATCAAAAATGCTTGAATAAGTGAAAGTTTGAACCTTTAGTTGAAAAAAAGAAGGTTAGCAACAGTTGACAACAGTCTGAAAAATAGTTGAAGCACATATTCGGTATTAATACAGAATTCATCGACACACGAGGACAGGCTTTTATATATAAAAAATACATTCCCACACCTGATTTGATTTCTGTTGGAAATAGTATTATACCAGGGTTGAAAAACCGCTTCGCGGCTTAACCCTGGCCCCGTCTAGGCCCTGTGAAAATCTTTAATTTGCATGCTGCTTCCCGAATTCTAGCACAAAAAAGTTGTCAAAAGGGAGACACTCCTTTCCCCATATAGGATATGATCCACTATATGAGGAAGGTTGCCACTGTCACCCTTATGAGAAAGTAACCCCATTCAGAGGCATCGGTTGTTCAGTGGATTTAGTATTTCTGTGATTCTCCCAATGCTTACAATGCGATTACCAATATAGAAAAGAAATAGAGACAAAAGGTTTATTAGTAGACACACAATTACCGGAACACAAGAGAATTGAGAGCACGAGGAAATGTCATTGTTCATCGGAAACCCAATCGCCCGCGCCAGCAATGCTAGTCACGGGGATTGGGGTCCAGAACAGGGTGTTGGATCGACGAGCGACAAGGGTTCAGTTCCCGTGAGAATTACCCATAAATCGCGGGACTGAATTGGGGACCCTCTGAGCCGGGGGCGGATACGGTAGGAAATTCCTCACATGCGCCCCGCGGCGGGACCCGGATTGGATTAGACAATGGTTTTCCCTCGAAAGGAATCATGCGGATATGGGAATCCGTCATGAGACTTTCGACAAAAGTGAAGAGCGCGCCCTTTCTTGTTTTTTATGAGCCGCCTCCACTTCCGGGGTATGGTAATTGATTCCTAACAAAGAGGAAAGCCCAGAATTTCAGAAAAACCTAATTTTAATGTAGAAAAAAGAACTTTTTCCAAAATCTGATAAGTGTGCAGTCGTTCCCAGGCCATTACGCACCGAATAACGTATCAAACACCCCCCTAGCTTCCCTCCTTCTTGAGATACGACTGGAAGAACCTGACGGAAGTTGCATGCAAATGCACACACACACACCCACAGGAACTATTTTTTTATATATAGTAGGAAGTAGGATATTAATAGTATTTCACCGGTATTATGAACGTCCGGTATTTTGAACGTCCGGTATTATGAACGTCCGGTATTCTAGCGTCCGGTATTTTGAAATCCGGTATTATGAATTCCGGTATTATAATAGGCATTCGCTTTAGACATACCCGATTATCTCATCATCTCGAAAAAAAGCCTCTCCTTTCTCAAGAGCCTTGAGAAGTATGTTCTGCCAGAAGGTTTTGCCAAGTCTTGCCTTTCCAGCGGTTGATATGATGGCCAGCTAGTGAAAGATAGTTCGGTAATTGATCGTAACCGTGATGATAAGCCCTAAGCACTGACCCGTTATGAGGGGAACATGCATTGAAAAAGAATGAAAAGCTATACAAACACATACGTGCTCTTTTTCATATATCCTGCCTTATATAAAAGTTTGGTCTCTGTGGCTGTGCGTCTGTGTGCACCTGTCAGTTTCGAGATCTTATTTGCGGGCCTTCCCGTATATAAAATGCCCTAATTCTCGGTCGTTTGGGCGAGGCGACGATTCCCCGATGGCGGTTTCAGAATTTTGATAAAATACGAGGTTACAAAGTTAAAGCCGGCTTCAAATGTGTATGCTAAACAGGAATTCCAACGCCCAATGCCCGCGTAGCAGGTATGGTTTGTACCGGCAAACAAATTTGCTGCACACGATGATTCTGCCGTCTCTTACCTTGCGACTGCCAATTTGTGCCACGATCCGCTCGAGCAATTCCTGGTCGTGACTTCGGCGCCCATCGTCAATTTGGTACAGACACTCCATGCGGTGCTTTTCCTGAATTCGTGCTGGGTTGTTTCGAGGCAGCGGCCTTACCATCTCCGCAACGGCACTTGCTGCATCGTCAACGCAGGGGTGGGAAAGCTTGTCATCGGACAGAGCAGGCGTCATCCTAAATTGCTGACCATAGAAATAGTATGAAATTATATTTTGGTTATAGATCTATAGGTGCACCACGCGATTTTCGCCTCAAAGAACAAATCTATCGAAATCAAAACAGAATCGGAAAGCATCGTTGCGAAAATGAAACCAATCAGCAGTATGCCCAGACCCGAGCAAGCCAAGTCCAGTTTCTTTCTACACATTTTTGAGCGCCCATTGTCTTGCAGAAAAGAATGGAGGGGCGAAGTCGAGCGGGGAGTGGACGTGGCATAGGCATGCAGCTCCATTCGCACGCCTGATTGGCGATAAAAATTTTTCGTTGCGTTTTTTGTTGCGGCCCAAACCATTGCTTGAGTTGCCGTGAAGGGAGATAGATAAGGGGCACGGCAATGCCTGGACCCAGGCCGGGAATAGTGGGCCAGCATCCGTGTTTATGCCGTTTTTAAGCTTAATTTCGACCTCAAATGACTTTTTAACGCAAAGTCCGCAGCAAATAATTTGGAAAACGGGTTCGGAATCAGCAAAACATTCTGCACAAGATAAGCTTGGTCCCATTCTAAAAAGAGTAAAGAGAATCTGATTCATACTTTGATTCATTCATTTCAATTTCAATTCATTCAATTCATTCTGAGTAAAAACACTTTACAGTTAGGCTTAGAAAACGCAACTATAAAGTAACTAACTGTAAACTAACTGTAAAGTGTTTTTATTCAAGTTGGAGTTTCGATTCGGGACCAAGCGTGTCTTGTGCAAATTGTTTCGCAGATTCCGAATCCGTTTTCCAAATTTGCTGCGGAACCTTATTAAAATAGGGATTTTTGGTGCAAATGAAGCTTAAAAAGGCAGAAATTCGGATTCCGACCCATTTTTTTTTAGTAGACAGAGAATGGTTTGTAACTATACCTGAGAAGCATAACTTTACAAATTTTAACCACTTGCTTAGGTTCTTAGATTTCAAGGTCGAATTTTTTGAGGGCAAATGGCAAATACTTGGGATAGTTAAAAGGCCGTCCGCGACTCACCCGAACAGGCCCCATTATGGCTTGGCACAGATTTTTTCGACCCCGTTTTTTTGACGGCATCGGATAGAGCATGGTCAAATTAGTAGGTCCGTATAGTTTTGAAAGTTTAAAAAGTTTAATTTTGGGGTTTAAATGGACCTCAAAGTTGCCGACCTCAAAAAACTATCTCGAAAAATACCGAACGAAATTTGCTAAAAATTTGTGACCATACTAATTTTGGGGTGGGGATCATTTCTCTAATACATTGTGAAGCATGAAAATCGCCGGAACGTGGTTAAATCAAATACTAAAAACAGTTTTTCGACATTTTCGACATTTTAGAGAAACCAGCGCATATTGGCTATATCATGGACAGACGCGTCTAACCTTTCTGCATCGAATGGTGTATCGCTTGATATGCGCCGACTTCTCTAAAAATTAGTTTTATTCGCTTTTATGTGGGAAAATGGGGGTAAAAATGACCCCGAAAAATAAAAATTTTTGACTACAGATAGTCTGAGATATAGAAATGCATCTAGAGGCCGAGGCGAATCGATTGCAAAAAAGAGCAAAAAGAAATTCGGCTCCTGAGAGAGGGCTGGGATTGAACTGGCGCCAGCTCTGGATTCGCACGCCGACGCTCTACTCACTGCGCCACAGGGCTCCCAGGCACACGACCCGAGTTCGATTCCACGACATCGAAATAAGTGAAAATTCGTTTTGCTCTTTTCTGCAATCGATTCGTCTCGGTCTCTAGATGCATTTCTTTATCTCAGATTATCCGTAATCAAAAATTTTTATTTTTCGGGGTCATTTTTAACCCCCCTTTTCCCACATAAAAGCGAATAAAACTAATTTTTAGAGAAGTCGGCGCATATCAAGCGATACACCATTCGATGCAGAAAGGTTAGACGCGTCTGTCCATGATATAGCCAATATGCGCTGGTTTCTCTAAAATGTCGAAAATGTCGAAAAACTGTTTTTAGTATTTGATTTAACCACGTTCCGGCGATTTTCATGCTTCACAATGTATTAGAGAAATGATCCCCACCCCAAAATTAGTATGGTCACAAATTTTTAGCAAATTTCGTTCGGTATTTTTCGAGATAGTTTTTTGAGGTCGGCAACTTTGAGGTCCATTTAAACCCCAAAATTAAACTTTTAAACTTTCAAAACTATACGGACCTACTAATTTGACCATGCTCTATCCGATGCCGTGAAAAAACGGGGTCGGAAAAACTGTGCCAAGCCTTGTTCGGGTGGCTCGCAAACGGCCTTTTAATGCATAGGGCAGCCGATGCCCATAAAAAAAATCATTTTTGCCGATTCTTTAATAAACTGATAATAAACTAAAAAAAAATCATTTTTTCTGACCTTGCCGTTAACTGAAAAGGCGGCATTCTGATAGAGCGGCACTATGAAAAGCGGTATTCTGAGGAGCGGTATTCTGAAAAGCGGCATGCTGGAAATATCCCCTTTAAGCTGTTTGTCTAGCCAATTTCTAGCCAATTTTGACGTTGGAACTGATCAAGAAAATCCAAAACGGTAACGATACCTTAATTTTGGTGAAAGACACCACTATAATTGCCGTATAACTTTCAAAATAAAAGTCCGCCGCAAATTCGGAATACGGATTCGGAACCAGCGAAAAATTCTGCACTAGATGCACTTGGTCCCGAAAGGAAACTCCAACTTGAGTAAAACACTTTACATTAAGTGCGTGTAAGTGTGTTCCGACTCTTTTTAATTTTGCCCAATGTTTGTTTCGATATTCAATTTGGGGGTTTTGAGCAAGTCGCGAAAGCTTGTAGTTGTAGCTTCATAGTGTCCATGCCGGCGGACGCTATAAAAATTTTGATGAAAAATTCGGGCCGTAGTCCATTTTTTTATCGCTAGAAATTCCCCGAGCATAAGCTTCTTTCCCCCCCCCTTCCCCCGCCGAGACTGTTCTCGTGGCGATAAGCTCCTTTTTACGATCCCGCGTGCGTCAAATTTGGCCCCACGGATACGTAAATTTTCGCGGCAACAGTTTAGGGTGATAATAATGAAAAAAGCACGATTCCGCAGGGCATTGTCTCCAAACAACTGAACTGATCTATTAGCCGCGTCCGTTGTTTTGCAGTCTTAAAATGTTTTGTGTAGCATAGATAGCCAATGAGCGCCCCTAGGGGTCGCCAAGCCGTACGCCTAGCAAGCCGCTTTCACATCGTAGATATTGCTCGGCGCGTGGTTAACTTTTCAGCAGCTATGGCAAATCGCGGCGGCCCGTGTTTAATGTGTAATCGCGAATATGTAATTTGCATCAAAATCTCCAAACTATCTTCAGAAACGATGGTTGGCCGCAGCCGTGAAAAAATCTGCATGTGGCTTCCAGGCCGGCATTTTTCCTGTTTTTTTCTGCTTTTCCCTTCCGATCTAGATTGAGGGCTTGCCTTTTCATAGTTCTTCAGGAATAAATTTCGAGCCAGAGAAACGAATAACACAAAAAAATGAAAGCCACGTATCTCACCCTTTTTATAAGCTAACCCCACTTCCGGCGTTATTTATACAACAACGCTATTTCAACATAGAAAATCTCAATTTTATGTTAGTCTGATATGTGTGCACTTCTTCTCCCTCCAAAAACGCTTTCCTGAGGCTAGGTGCCGGACAACTTTCTGAAAGTGGAAATGTAAATGCCCACACGAAGACATTTACAGTGGCGGACAAAAGTTTCCAACATTTCGTTTTTTGGCTCTATTTCGCGTTTTTGGTGAGGTAATGTTCCCTAAATCGCATTCATGATAGAATTTGTCGTGCTTCTTACCTAAAAGAAGCTTAAGACCACAAATCTGCAAAAGAAAAAAGTTTGATAAAATTCTCAAAAATGTCGATGGCAAAAGTTTTCAACAAATTTTTTTTAAATCTCTGCGGAAAGTAATGGTGTCCTCTGGGGTGGTAATGTTGATGCCAAATCGTTTAACATAATTGGGTCCAACATTCACGGTTGCAGATTAATTTATACAGCTCTCGGGAATTTTTTCGAAAATGATTGAAGAATTCCGTCAATGATTGGACCCAATTATGTTAAACGATTTGGCATCAACATTACCACCCCAGAGGACACCATTACTTTCCGCAGAGATTTAAAAAAAATTTGTTGAAAACTTTTGCCATCGACATTTTTGAGAATTTTATCAAACTTTTTTCTTTTGCAGATTTGTGGTCTTAAGCTTCTTTTAGGTAAGAAGCACGACAAATTCTATCATGAATGCGATTTAGGGAACATTACCTCACCAAAAACGCGAAATAGAGCCAAAAAACGAAATGTTGGAAACTTTTGTCCGCCACTGTATATAGACCATCCGCACCAGTAACGACTAGTTTCCAGCGTGTTCTCAAATAAGTTGCTTCAGAAAAAATCTGTGCAGCAACACAATTGGGCCGATAAAACGCGCATGTCCGCAGCTAGGACCCCATTTCTGATCGCTGACAAACATTTACCCTGTTCTACTCGATCTGCGAATAAGCCCTTACTCAGAGATGACGTATCACATGCTAGTCGACATTATTGACGGACGCTTGGTCCTGAACGAAGCAACCTTCGCAGTAACGGTCGGCAACAAAAAGTATCAAGGCAAAAAGGTACAGGCTCTCCGGCTCCGGGTAACGAGGATTAAGATATCCCTGGTTAGTACAATAGGCAAGTCTCGTACCGGGAAGAGCTTCCTAGCGGCATGCCTGTCACAGTACGATCCGGCGAAACCGGGCATGTGAGTTTTCTTGACATTTTAATTTCTTTTTCAAACTTCACCTTTTCGCGCTAGCAAAAACGGCAGCGTGTAAAGCGCCAAGTCCACATAAAACGAAAATTCAGCAGGCAAATTTAAAAATAAAAAGCTTCCTATAAGATTCCGCCAAACTAGATGGTTTAAAAATATTCGCTACCAGCGCCCAACACCCGCTTCGCGGGGCGGGGCGGGACACGACACACACACACACACACACACACACACACACACACACACACACACACACACACACACACACACACACACACACACACACACACACACACACACACACACACACACACACACACACACACACACACACACACACACACACACACACACACACACACACACACACACACACACACACACACACACACACACACACACACACACACACACACACACACACACACACACACACACACACACACACACACACACACATTGCTATTACACACACACACACACACACACACACACACACACACACACACACACACACACACACACACACACACACACACACACACACACACACACACAACACAACACACACACACACACACACACACTACACACACACACACACACACACACACACACACACACACACACACATACACACACACACACACACACACACACACACACACACACACACACACACTACTAGGTACATTAATTCTTTATTTCTATTATTAATTACGTAATTTCTTTCCAGCATTTCGGGCCCATTTTCGACGGGCTTTGAACCGGAAACGAAAGGTATCCAAATTTTGGAACAGCCGCTGTTAAATCGTATGCTGAATGGCGAAGAGGCAAAAATCGCTGTAGTAAGGTCATCATTTGCTTAGGTGTACATTTTCCTGCTGGACACGCAGGGACTCTTCCTCAATGATTGTGACGGGTTCATTTCCGAATCGATCATGATATTCACGATGCTGATCTCAGAGGTTCTGGTTGGTGTTTTGAAATTCTCCCTTAGTGCTTCACAACTTCAAGATTTTCAATCTGTTTCATCGACCGGACGGTGACGACTTGCGAACAATTTACCGAGCTGTAGAGATTTCCTCCAACTTGGTCAACCGTCGACCGATAAACGTACGTCTCCATAAATTGATAGGCGCGGCCATTTGACACAAAGAGACATGAAGACCTCAATTCTAGAATCTTTTATTCTTGATCCGCGACGCAATGCTACCGGACGCTTCGGCCGACGAGCTACTGCAATCAATTTGGGTGCGTCTTTACAGCCAGAAAAAAAGCGGGTGCGGCGGGTTTCTATTAAAGGGACATGCGGCACCTGTTGATGACTTCAAGGTCATGAAAGGGTCAACATTTGAGTACGCTGTTACGGTAGGTGCTGAATGTCCGGCAAATCCAAATGCGTACCAATTGACCGCCCGACAGGCAAACTTCCGCCGCCGACTTGGGTTTTAGAACGAGAGCGGAATGTACCTTTAAGAACCTGCCTTGGGAATGGTTTCCGGCGGACATCGGACCTAGATACGTGAGCATGTGCATCTTGGGGATCTCGACGAGATGAATCGATTGATGTAACGTTTCGCTGCCAACGCCTTTAAATAAAAAAGTTACAACGATTTGTTTTCTGGATGCCATCATCAAGCCCTCCCCGCAACCCCATCACCGTGGTCTGGTGACCTAGTCGTTTAGTAGTCGGCGTCTGGGGAATCTAACGAGGGTTCGAGCCCGCTCACCATTTTTATTTTTGTTTTTTTGTCTAAAGGTTCCGCATTTTATTTAATTTACTTTATTTACATTTTATTTACTTTTTTATTTAAAGGCGTTGGCAGCGAAACGTTACATCACTCGATGATGATCCCCAAGATGCACATGCTCACGTATCTAGGTCCGATGTCCGCCGGAAACCATTCCCTAACTAGGGAATGGTCTCCACTCGGCCTCGAATTTTGGGTTAAAAGTTAGCTCATCTTGTAGAGCTCGAAGAGACGAATCGATTGATGTAACTTTTAGCTGCGGATACTGTAATACAACAAAGTTACAGCCCTTTAAAGTTTTCACCCGACCTTCATAATCCCTCCCCACGCCCCCTCCACCGTGGTCTGGTGGCCTAGTGTTGTGGTAGTCGGCGTCTGGGGAATCTATCGAGGGTTCGGACCCGCTCACGATTTTTATTTTTTGCTTTTTCGTCCAAAGCCTTCTTTTTGCGTTCTGAAGGCCGTGAAGCAGTTTTTATTCATCATTTTTGCTCTAGGAAGCGCTCCGGCCAAAAATACCGCCCCTAAAAATTGTGGAAAATTTTGACAATTAGCCAGCTTGCCATTCCAGACTAAAAAATAAAATCAAAAATTTTTTCATGGGACCTTGGTTACGATAACGAGTTGTAAAGATGATTGTCAACCTGTTGCAATTTTTCCAAATTTTTTGGGGCTGGAGCGCTAGCCACCGGGGGTCAAAAAACTAATTTCTTTTTCCGAAGCAGCATTTTTGGCCGGAGCGCTTCCTAGAGCAAAAATGATGAATAAAAACTGCTTCACGGCCTTCAGAACGCAAAAAGAAGGCTTTGGACGAAAAAGCAAAAAATAAAAATCGTGAGCGGGTCCGAACCCTCGATAGATTCCCCAGACGCCGACTACCACACCACTAGGCCACCAGACCACGGTGGAGGGGGCGTGGGGAGGGATTATGAAGGTCGGGTGAAAACTTTAAAGGGCTGTAACTTTGTTGTATTACAGTATCCGCAGCTAAAAGTTACATCAATCGATTCGTCTCTTCGAGCTCTACAAGATGAGCTAACTTTTAACCCAAAATTCGAGGCCGAGTGGAGACCATTCCCTAGTAAGGGCCGTTGGAAATGCATACCGCTGGACGCCTAATCATTGGCTATGCTAACAAGGAGTCGCTTTTAGGTGCTTTTGGAGTTTCGGGACGGGACCTAGCTAGTTCGATAGAGAAAAAAATTCTGAGCAACATCCCGTTTTCAAAAAGTGCTGATCGATAAAGGAATTTTAGAAAATTTACTTTAAAGTTCGCGTTTATTTCTGGTTTTTGGCTCCATTTCCTCGGTGCACGTCGTTTTCGGGGCGGGCAGGGCGCCATTCGTAACCCTCCGCCAATTCCTCCTCCAGAGGTTGCATTAGCGTATTGGTAGCGCGCTTGTCTGCCAACGTTTTAACATTTTTTTGCCTCGGGTTCGAATCTTCGCGCTGGCTAACCCTTTGCTTTTTTGTTCTTGAACCCGTTATCGGTGCATAAAATTTTAATTAGCAAAAAAAGCAAAGAGTTAACGGTGAATAAGAATCGAACTTGTGACAAAAGGTAAAAAAAACTTCGTAGGCCAGCGCACTAGCCACTTGGCCATGCATAGGACGAGATCCAAGGCGCGTGAAGTCCTCATGTGGCAGGGGCGATCGACCGCCGCAAATCACCTCTAATCACCACAAGGGTCCGGACACCGGGAACATTTTTAATTAAATTCAATTTTCTAATACAGCTTTATCGATCAGCACTTTTTGAAAACGGGATGTTGCTCAGAATTTTTTTCTCTATCGAACTAGCTAGGTCCCGTCCCGAAACTCCAAAAGCACCTAAAAGCGACTCCTTGTAAGACACATATAACCAGGGTTGTTCATGGACGGGCTTCCACGAACCCGTCCGCTTCGGGATTTGCTCCCCGAGGGCGGCGGGTCCGGACGCAGGAAGTAGCTTAGCCCCCTATGCAAAGCGCGGTTGATCAAAACTGACAAAATAATTGACGAAATGACCCTTTTCACGTCCTTTCCCAAGTAACATATGTACAGGGTGGGCAAAAAAAAGATCCGAGTTTGCGTCAAAATATCCCGCGAACGGTAGAGAATCGAAGGTGGGTTACCATGCCTGTTGTGCTTGCTTAAATGCTTAAAAGGCCGTCCGCGAGTCACTCGAACTGTTCCCATTATGGCTTGGCACAGTTTTTTCGACCCTATTTTTATGATGCCATCTGAAAGAGCGTGTCTGAATTAGTAGGGTGGCATAGTTTTGAAAGTTTTAAAAGTTAATTTTTGTGGCTTAAATGGGCATTAAAGTTGTCGACCTCGAAAAACTATCTCGAAAACTTCTAAACCAAATTTGCTGAAAATTTGTGTCAATACCTAATTTGGCATGGGGATCATTTCTCTAATACATTGCAAAAGCCCAAAAATGACCGGAACATGGTTAAATTGCGTACTAAAAACAGTATTTCGACACTTTCGAATTTTGGGACACCTCAGCGCAACTTGAAAATAGCATAGAAAGATGCGCCAAAAAAAATTCTGCGTCGAATGATGTATTGCTCGTGTTGCGCCCAGGTGTCCCAATTTTACTATAACGCGATTTGTGTGCGGAAAATGCAACAAAAACGACCCCTAAAAATACAAAATTTGTAGTTTTGAAAATACAAGACATGAATTTGCATGTAGTCGTCATGCTGAAGCCATTGCAAAAAGAGCAAAAAAGAAATTAGGTTTATTTCGATGTCGTGGAATCGAACTCGGGTCGTGTGCCTGGGAGCCCTGTGGCACAATGAGGAGAGCGTCGGCGTGCCAATCCAGATCTGGCGCCAGTTCAATCCCAGCACCCTTTCAGAAGCCTAATTTCTTTTTGCTCTTTTTTGCAATGGCTTCAGCATGACGACTACATGCAAATTCATGTCTTGTATTTTCAAAACTACAAATTTTGTATTTTTAGGGGTCGTTTTTGTTGCATTTTCCGCACACAAATCGCGTTATAGTAATATTGGGACACCTGGGCAGCACGAGCAATACATCATTCGACGCAGAATTTTTTGGCGCATCTTTCTATGCTATTTTCAAGTTGCGCTGAGGTGTCCCAAAATTCGAAAGTGTCGAAATACTGTTTTTAGTACGCAATTTAACCATGTTCCGGTCACTTTTGGGGTTTGCGATGTATTAGAGAAATGATCCCCATGCCAAATTAGGTATTGACACAAATTTTCAGCGAATTTGGTTCAGAAGTTTTCGAGATAGTTTTTCGAGGTCGGCAACTTTAATGCCCATTTAAGCCACAAAAAAATAACTTTTAAAACTTTCAAAACTATGCCACCCTACTAATTCAGACACGCTCTTTCAGATGGCATCATAAAAATAGGGTCCAAAAAAACTGTGCCAAGCCTTGTTCGGGTGTCTCACAGACTGCCTTTTAAATATGCTAGGAATGAAGATTTAACACAACTTGATTTTTTCGATTTTTGGCGACGTACCCATACAAATGACACCCGGAAAATGTGCGTTCCGCAAAACTTCATTTGCATTTTTCTCAGTTTCCTGTGGTGGCTGGGTTCTAATTTTTTCTCTTTAAGTTAATGTAGGCAGTAAATATGCACCTACAAAATTTAAGAATTTTTGAGGGTCTGGTTGACAAGTTATAGAGGAATGAAATTTTGTATGGGGAAATTTCGTAAATTTCGAAAATTACAAAAACCTATGGCCAAAACATCAGAATAAGTTGTTGTAGAATAACTACGGAACACTATACAACCGCATAAACACACTTAAAAATGTTTGAGATTGATGAATTCTCGAGTTTTTCAACGACCTGGATTTTTCGAGGTCTCGAAACCGAAATTTGGAAAAATATTTCTAAATTGCCAAACGTGACTCAGCTATTTTCTTTGCTTAACTATGTAGTACTGGGGTTGATCTATCTTCTACAAAATTTCAAGCTACCGTACCCCTTTGGAAGGGCGTCTTTTAGGGCCTCCAAGACAGTTGGTTCGTGCTTTTTTCCAAAACTCGCTAACAATTTATAAATTTTAACAGCGCTATGAAAATTGTTCTTTTAATTTTATGTGATATTATTTTCTATTCATTATTTTTTTCATTATTTTCCTAAAGCGACGTTCTTGAATTTATTTGACCAGCCGTTGGCGAAAAGAAAATTCATCAAAATCCGAAATAAACCGAATCGGAGGTTGCGTAAAAAAATTTTGGAAGGTGGAGTCGCCAGCATATTTTCAGCATTAATTTTGTGTTATCAATTAAATAGAACTATGCAAAGATTAAAACAATTTCGCGTCGAAAAAATTTTAAGAAGAATTTTAAACGTCGATTTTGGAATAGGGTGATCTTCGATTGAGAGCTGAAAGCCACCATAATTTTGAATCAGATTCAGGGGCGTAGCCAGAAAAAAAATTTTGCACTTTGCTATTATTTTTCTACAAATGTCAACTAATTTTCGGCCAAAAATCAGAATTTTCCCACCACCCATTCAAGAACGCACAATTTTCGGTCGTAACCAGCGTCAATAGTACAGTTGCGTACTCAAAAATCGAAAAAATCAAGTTGGTCTTAATCTCTATTCCTGACATATTTAAGCATTCTGGCATGGTAACGCACGGTGAAATATGTTTCCTTCTCGAGTTATTCGGGGACAAACTTGGACCTTTTTTTTTGGAACACCCTGTACAGTTGCGTACCCAAGAATCGAAAAAGAAGTTATGTTAAATCTTCATACCCAGCATGTTCAAGCATTCTGGCAACGTAACGCACCTTCGATTCTCTACCGTTCGCGGGATATTTTGACCAAAACTCGGATCTTTTTTTTGCCCACCCTGTATTTAAATAGAGAAAAGGCAACAATCGGTCGATTATGTTAATTTGCCTGCAATCATTTTGCATGTGTTTCCCGTCATGGACGCACCGGACGCACGCGGACGCACCAGCCCGCAGTGCGTGCGTCCGGCTCGTCCCTGACCGATCCCAGCCCATCCGCATTCTTTGATGCAAATTACGCGGACGGGACGGGTCCGCGTCCGGTCCGGACGTACGCGGACCGGACTCAAAATGAACAACCTTGCATATAACAATTCAGCGCCTACCTCAACGGCTTTCAGGAACAAACTGAGAATTCGAAAGAACTAACGGAAGCCTGCACCGTCATCCGGCAAAATATCCTAAATATTGGTTGCGTGCTGATGTGCGCGCCCTCTAAAAACGTGAGAGAAGCGAACCATAGTGTTGGCCTCACAGGTCAGTTTTCAAAACTCTCGCCTGTAAGGCCGGTTTTCGCAGACTCGGACGATCGCAAATTCCTTGACGGCATCCTCAAAGTGGGCAGTTATATCGAAAAGTGCGCTGATGGTTCGCTGATGGAGAAACTGGAACTGTCTTTTTGGAAGGTAAGGTAGCGTGTGGCCGAAGGAATTGAGAGATTCGATCATCGTTAAAGGTACAGTCCGCTCTCGTCTGAATGGTCTAAGGTCTTAGACAAATTGTGTTTTAGAATGCCGGGTTACGGTGGGTGCTAACAGTCGGGCAAAACCGAACTCGGGACGCTCGCCTGGGGCAAGCGCTTTAGACCACTCGGCCATGGGAGAGACGGGAGAAGGGGAGGGGGCGAGGAGCTATGAAGGGTCGGAGGTCGCGGCCGCCGGACAGCCGGATTCTTGCCGCCGAACTGGATTTTTTAACGAGCGCCGAATGTACCTTTAATTAAATTTTCACCAGGAGACGCTGGAGCGGATTGACGCCGATCTGCCCAAATTAGTGCGGGGCATAGAGGTTCGGCTATCGTTTATCGAAACACCCTTGTTTTCAAGACTACGAAACCGGAATGTATTCAGAGGACTGCAACAAAAATTATTAACAAATTTGATCTTCACTGTTCGGTAAGGCATTCCGAAAACCAAATGATTTTTCTTTAGGGCACCACTGCTGAATCAGTTTCGCAGTTTTACCTGACAGCATTGGAGGATATAAAACTGGCAACAAGCCAACGGTCACTGGAAGTGAACCATACGGAGCTCATTGCGGAAATCGCAAAGCGCTTGCAGGTGAGTTGAACATTTTAACTTGAAGACAATATTTTCTGCAGGTACTTCACGATAACGACATGAGCAACGTTTGTCGACGGGCGGAAGCGCACTTAAAAGAGAGCGCCCGAGCTGAGCGACTGGCGAGTGGGACTCAAGCAATCGATCAGGCAGGTCCCAGTAACTCATTGGAAAAGCAATATTTTAGTTGCGGTCCATTGGGGACGCCGAGGAATTTTGGAGGAGCAATGGAATCGCAAAGGAAGCCGGATCGGATGCGAAAACTTACGACGAGCTTAAGGTAAAACGATGCGGTGACCTTCGGGTATATTTTTGCACACCGAACTTGCAGGAGCGACTCTCCGCCCGGATTCGTCACGAACTATTGCCAAACCATATTCGCGACTTAATCGATAAGCGTGAGCCCACGCTCCAGAGTCTCGTTCAAAAGGTTTGAGCCATCACAGCGAATTCATATTAAGGCCTTAACCCTTTAGAGAACCCGCATTGCTGAACTCGAAGAGAGCAAATTTATCGCAATAGCCGTGGAGAATGAGATTAGCTTCTTAAAGGCGGACGTGAAAAAACTGGAACCGATGTATGTGTGCTCCCCACGCGAGCTTCTCGAGATTATCTCCACTGCTACGCCCAAGGTCGAGGTGGGTGCGCGGCAAATATGGAAATCATTGTCAAATCACTACTATGCATTTTCTTCGCTACGGATCTGTTGCACTGGCGCAGTCTGTGCTAAAGCGGTGCCGTGGTCCGCCTAAATTCATACGCACATCCCTGTCCTGAACGCGCAGCGCACGCTGATTGTAAAACACCCGAGAACGCGCATGCAGACGCACACGAGGAATTGCGCGCACCTTTTTTTAATAGCACTTTGGCTTCGCTTTTTCACTGCCGGTTTCCAATGTCTGCATTGCTTCCGGGAACCAAACGTTTCCCGATCAGCGTTGCAAAATGCCCATCCCCTCAAAATACTTACAGGAGTCGGTGATGCAACCAATTTTTCAGAAATGTTTTGAGCGTGTAATCATGAAGCGGAAAAACGAATTGATGAAGTTAGAAGCGCTTGAATCGCCGAACGCCAAAATACACGAGAGACCATTTTCCTATGCTGCAGCTGCTGCCAAAAATCAGTCTCATCAGGAGGCGAGGATCGAGGGCACCGCAAGGAATGCGGGGCTTGGCAAACAGTTGATCCGCGGTGCGGCTTTTGTTTCTGGTGCTGACACGCAGCCCGAAATTCCCTCACGCAACGCTGCAAATTCGGAAAAAGGCTTGGTCGCCAGTAAAAAAGCTAGCCACGAAAAAGCCGCCACCGGGAATAAATCTGGCACGCGCGCGATGTCGAGCAGTGTTGCTCTTGTTCCCATGTCTGTTATTTCGGGAATGGGAACAGCGCCCTACTCTGTCGGGTTGGAACCCTTCGTAACCTCCGGAAACCAAATGCTCTTGAATACGGAAAACATGATGAATCAATTGGGCATACGCGCCAATTCAAATACCTCTTCGGGCGCTAGATCAGATCAGGAAACAATTGTAAATAAGCAGCAGATACAGCAAGCAAGCGCCAAGGCTTCGCAGTCCAGTTCGACCGCATATGATCGGCATCAGGTAGAAGGGCTTAAGGACGAAACAAAACAGCCGAATCAAACGACCATTGATGTGAAGGGAAACTACAACTATAAATTAGTTAATACGGATTATACTGCAAGCGAACAGCGAGCCGAGATCGCGCTGCTGACCTCTAAACTCGCGAAACTCCAAGAGGAAAAGGCATCCCTCGACAGCAAGCATGGAAAATGTTATGTTGAAATTCGAGACCTGAAGGTTACATGTACACAATATGACGAGATCCATAAGAATTTACTCGGGTTTCGCCATGAGTTGCGGGAGTTAGTTCGGGTTAGTTCATTTGCCAAAAACTTCAGCAATGTAACCCTTTGCTTCGTATGGCCTTCATTTGCCAGAAAAAGTTTCTTTGGCAAATGTCGTTATTTCAGGAAAATCGAAAATATGACTTCCTCATCCGGGAAGTTCGCGACGAATTGTTGCGCATTGAAATGGAACGTTGCCTAGATCGGGATTATGTGCATCGCGGCGAACCCATCTACAAGAAACTTCACGAGCAACGCGGGCACGTGGCAGCTCATAGCTACGAGCTGGCTACCGATGGCACTTTCGTAAGTTTTGCCACCTCACCGCCATTCTATGTGTTATCCTAATTTTGCCCCTAAACCTGTGGCAAGTTGGCGCAAACCAAAATCTGGTTAATGTGACTGTGTCCTCAACCAAGTGTCCTGTTTTCCCTCTAAAAACAGAAGCTATTTCCAGAAGCCTCAACGCATTTTTTTCGAGCCGCTTGTGAACCGGGACGCTAGTAAGAACAGTGCACAATATCCCCTGATAGATAATAGCTACGATACGTGTTTTCGAGAAATCGAAAATGCGCTGCACCTCGACTCGATGAACTGCCGTGCTGTTGCGAAAGCCTGGGTCGTCGAGTTTCAGGTGTGTAAAGGTGGTCAGGCGCTTAGGGGGGGCAGAGGGGCAGGCTCCACCCTCCCCCCACGGGTCCCCAATCTTACACACGTCTGCCCCCGTCCCGCTATTGCGCGCCCCCAGGCATACGGTACCTCCCCCGCTGCCCCACTCCCCAGTGCCCTTTCAAACTGTTTTAACTTAATTATACAACCCTGGGGAGGTTTTTAATAGTTTTTTAAACTAATAGGTTCAGTTCCTGACGGGCGTTTAATAACTTTTTTTTGAAAACAATGACTTTTTGAACGAAAACGAGTGGTGATAGGTTTTGGTGCTGCTAGTTTCTTAATACGAGCAACTTTTTGTTGGCTATAACCAAGGAAACTTTTAACCAGCAGTTCCTAGATTTGTTAACATCTTTTTTCTGTTAACCAATGTCATTCGTGGTTTTCTGTTAACAAATGTCATTCGTTGACCGCTGCTCGGGATTATAAGTTATACTTTGAGGGGATGTAACGTCAGTTGATCAATTTTTCGTTCTTGTCGCGATCAAGCAACACTTTTCAAAAACAGCCATTTACGAAGCAACCTAGATTTGTGCCACCTTGTGCAGATTTTCAAAACTGTATTAATGACGTAAGCACTACCGCCTACTATAAATCTCGAAATGCTAAAAACATGTGCTTCTATTGGCAGAAAGCATCAGCAACACCGTTAAATGTTTCTTAGGCCCAAAATCAAAACACCACCTCCGGCCGAAGCCAGTACTGACAAAATTCAAGGCTAACAGCGACAATTTTTCTAAATTGAGTCTAATTTTTTCCTATTCGAGACACTTCCTCCTAAAAGTCGTCAAAATATAGTTCTCCTCATAACTTTAGCCTACTAGTTTAAAAAACTATTAAAAACCTCCCCAGGGTTGTATAAATAAGTTAAAAGGCCGTCCGCCAGTTACTCGAACAGTCCCCATACAAGCTTGGCACAGTTTTTTTTCGACGCCTTTTTATGATGTCATTTGAAAGAGCATGGTCGAATTATTAGAGTCGGATGGTTTTGAAAGTTTTAAAAGTTTAATTTTGGGGTTAAAATGGGCCCCAAAGTTGCCGACACCGAAAAATTTCTCGAAAATGACTGTACGGAATTTGCTGAAACTTTGTGACAATCCCTAATTTGGGTCTGGGAACATTTTTCTAATACATTGCAAACTGTGAAAGTGGCTGGAACATAGGTATATTGCGTACCAAAAACAGTTTTTCCGGAATTAGTAGTTTTACGGGTGATCGCTGCATCAAGCGATTAGTGCCAAAAGATGCACCGAAATTTTCTCTATCGATTGATGTATCTTTTAGAATGCAACGAGCACCCGTAAAAACCGAAAATTCGTCCTGAATGGGTCGCCGGAAGACCAAATTTGGCAAATATTTGACGGAGTGACATGGTTTTGATTCTAGTGCCCGAGTTAGGATAATTGCAAAAGGAGCAAAAAGAAATTAGCTTTCTAAAGGTAGGCTGGGATTGATCCAGAGGCGCCCGAGGGCAAGGATCCCAGGCCACTACCAATGCACCACAGTGACATCCGAACAGGCCTGCAGCCTACTCGGCCCCTGGAGGCCACTCTCACGATTCCCCACTATCTCGCCTACTCTAGCCTATCTCCGCAAGGAACTTCTTTACCAAAATGGCCGAAATTGAGGCTCTGGCGACCCATTCAGGACGATTTTTCGGTTTTTACGGGTGCTCGTTGCATTCTAAAAGATACATCAATCGATAGAGAAAATTTTGGTGCATCTTTTGAATAGCTCGATGCAGCGATCACCCGTAAAACTACTAATTCCGGAAAAACTGTTTTTGGTACGCAATATACCTATGTTCCAGCCACTTTCACAGTTTGCAATGTATTAGAAAAATGTTCCCAGACCCAAATTAGGGATTGTCACAAAGTTTCAGCAAAAACTGAAAAAAAAGTGGGGGTGGAGCGGGGGTACCGTATGCCTGGGGCGCACAATAGCGGGACGGGGGCCTACGTGTGTAGGATTGGGGACCCGTCCGAAATGTCGCTGCCCCTCCGAAACTTGGGGTCAGCTACGCCCCTGGTAAAAATACTAGAAGCCGATCCCGATCCGTGCTTGCCGGGGGAGGCACCAAAAAATTTGGCAAATGCAGCCGCCATGCAAGAAATTGCTGAACGATATCCGGTGACTACCCAATGATTTCCAGAATTGGTTGATGGGCTGGCGATTTCCGTTTTTCATCGAACTTTCCATATGCTTTTCATTCCAAATTAACGCCGAAGAACTGCTAAGGAAATTTGGAAAGGGGATGCCGTACGCCGAAGACGTAAGCCATGTTTCTGGATAACTTACCAAATGTGTATCAATGGCTGCGAAACTGGTTCAGGAGACTGCCACAAAAAATTATCGGCAATTTATTGATTTGTTCACCGAACGGCCACCAAAGGATCATCTACTCCCTGGCGCACTATACCGATTCTGCGAGCAGGAAATGGAAAACATTGTAGACGGATCAAATTCATCCGGAAAGTTCGGTTCAGGTGTCCGGATATCCAGATAGGTATCCGATGGCTGTAGCAGCAAAACTATCACGGGAATTTTGTCGAAGGGCCTGGAAGGATTGCTCACGTCAGTTGCCCGAAAAAGCCGCCTGGATGTGGGATTTCATCTCGTGTGTTTTTATTTATAAATGGGCAGCAAGAATCCAACAATTCAGTTGCAAGGTGCGTCTCGCTGAACTGAATTGAACAAAAAAGCTCTGTTTAGGTGGAAAAAGAAAAACCGCCAAGGGGCCGGCCGTATTTTTTGGATATGATCAACTATGTGACGATGGATATGAGCAGTAAAACTGGCGATAAATGGAAAGCACAGCTGATCCAAATTCTTGAAGGCCGGCAATCTGATAAGGCTGTCAAAAATTTGCAGGACAAGATTCAGTCTTGGCATGTTGCTCTTTCACATGGTTAAAACATACCGTCTATCTTTTCGCATTCGCGTTTTTGTCTGCGTCTGTAATAACCCCCCAAAAAAATTGGTCACCCCATCTTCTTTCGTTCTGTCCTTGTGTGGCCGCAGACTTATCTTCTCCTTCTTAGCGATAAAAATTGGAGCTGTAGCTATAAGCAGGAAAACACTTTACTCACATCAAACATACCAGAAAAACATGTATCTAGTTCATCCGGAAGTTCAGATCGATCGTGCGACGCTGGAATTCCTCGGCATCGTGACGCTAGTGGTTAGCCTGGACCCATTCAAAGGCGGCAATGCCGAGCGCGTTGACTCATCTTTTCCCATGCTAAAAGAGCCAAAAGCCCATTAAAATGTTTTAAGCCCATAAACTTTTGGTTTTCGCAAAAAGAGACGAATTCTCGTGACAACAAAAAGTGTTAAATTCCTTTCAAACTCTCGAAAATGCCACAAAATGTGGGCACAGCAAAAAGTTGCTGGCTATTTTAAATCTTAATAAACTTGGTACCAGCCTAGATTACAGGTCAAGGCCACAGATTAATTTCAAGAAAGTGTCAAAAGGTCATAATACAGAAATTATTTGCAAGCCGAAACGGCTAAAAACTAGGTCAACCATGGATGCACCGGGCCAATTGGCAAAAACGACGTTGCGGGTGGGATTCGAATTCGGGAGCCAGTCTTCCCAGTGCAGCGTGCTAACCACTGGGCCAACCGAGAGACTGGAGGGCCGTCTTCGGGGGCCCTATAGCTGCCCTGCTGACTGGGGACTGGGGGCCGTGAAAGGGAAGGGTGGCGTCCCGTATGACGAGGTTTTAAAGTTATAATATCTCAGAGGACAAGCATTCTTTCGATGCAATTTCTTCTTTACTTATTCTGGCATGGTCTAATGCATATTTGAGCAAAATTTCAGTCAAATGCGTGTATGCAGAGATAACTCGCTAAAACATTTTGCCGTAATTCTTCAGAAACTTTCGGGTCGGCGTCTCGGTTCTCCTTGATTTTGGTGGCCTAGGACCCTCCCATGGTTCAAATCGGGAGCTACAAAATGCCATATTACATGTTCAGGTTTGAGCTATCTGCGATTTTAGCCAGTTGGTTTCGGGAGGGGACCAGGCAGCGTCGTTTCAACGCCCGTATCGTCGCAATTAATTTTTAGGAAGCGCATCAGGACTATCACCATTCTTTCAAATTATCATTCAAACCTCGCTATTCACTGCTGCACCGTACATTACTTGCGGTGCCATATATCCTTCTGTTCCGCTTAGACCGAGTGAAAATGTCGCTAGGTTCCTGACGATCCCGAAATCTCCCAGTTTTAAGGTGTAATCATGGCCATATATAAATAAACTACGCGGATTTATCATATCGCGAAGTGATTCCCACTTTTCCGGTTTGACGTCACGATGAACCTTTTTCATACTTTGAATGTATTCAAGGGCGCTAAACATTTCTGTCGACCATTGGGCAACCGTTGCCATCGAATAGACTATTTCTTTGTTGTTCAGAACGAAGGTACGGGTCATCGAACAATCAAGAAGTACCATCTCTTAAGGAGCCATGTTCACAGTATTCCATGAAGATTGACAAAGTGTCGGTACTGATATCGGCATAATTGGCTGGTCGATCATAATATCTGACGACATTCACATGGGAGAGCTCCTAAATGATTCCTGGAGTTCCTAATCTAATCACCTCGCTGCCCAAGGTCCCGATTAGCGATTCAAAATCTACCCTCAGTGTTCGTAGCTCGCTCCAATAACTCATGTTATCCTGATTTTTCATGACCTTCATAACCATTAGCCTGTAAGAAAAATTCCTTGGCAAGTTAAAAAAATAACGTACGGAGCTGTGTCAAGGAGAAGCCATACATCGTCCTGCCCTCCACCACCTATCCTTTGCTTCGCCATTTTGACGGAACAAAAACGTGGCTCGATGTAAAAAAAAACTGTCAGCGCTTCGGGTGGCTTCGAGAGTGTGAAACCACCAAGATAAAATTCGGATAACGGCAGTGGGAAAAGGGTTGCCCAAGAGACTTTACTATCGCTGCTTATCGAAACAAGAGCCTGCGAATGGCATGCTTTGCTGCGAAGGATTATTGCCGAAAGCCCCTAGAGGTTGGAGCGTCGGGAAATGACTCAGACGTGAATGAAGAGTTGCAGGTATTAAATGCAGCAGGGAGGAACCGAGGTTGCCCGTAATTTAAGCCAAAAAACCCTATATGCCCGGATTTGCAAAAATTCCGAGTGTGTACGGTACTGTTTGACCGGGCGCTAAGGATTTGATTACAATTGAGATTTATGCCGATTCGGCCCCTTTAAAAGCGTTGTATTCTCATTTCACACGAGCCAAACTTTGAAATGGCTCTGTCCCTCTGTGGGGGTTGAATATAATGGTGTTGGTTGCCGTGCTACAGCAAAGTGCTCGCCGCCCCTTTCTCTAGAGCCCCGAATTGGTTCGCGTAATAAATTTTCGGGGCGGCGGTCGAGAGTTTGGAAGGGGCCAAAGGGGGGGGGAAGGGGACACGTATAAGCGTTCAAGCATACGGCTATAATTAAGGTTGACAAAGAGAGATGGAGAGCGAGCAGGTACCCCCGAATTCAGCTCGATTTCTTGGCCTTTGAAGGGCAGTTTAACGTTTTATGTAAAAATACAAGGAAGCCTGGTGATTTTATTGGCTACAAACTACAAAAATCTTTCGTTTCGTCAAACTGTCATTTAAAAATCCGAATTTTCCTAAAAAATAACTTTTTTTAAAACTTTTACAGGTGTAGTTTATCAGCATTTACGCACAAAACTGGCTCAGCTACAAACTATAAAAAATATAAATAAATGACACTATAAAAATACCTTAAAAATGCTATATTTCAGTTTTTGAGGCTACCAAATTTTTCGGTTTTTCTTATTTTACGAAATTCCGTTTTTCGCGCCTTCCCCATCCATCCCTCAAATTCGCACTCACCAAATCGTTCTACATGACACATCGAATTTCGTTGGACACCAGGGTTTGGCCCCCGTGGTTGGGATAATTGGTAGGAGGCTATAAAATCCGCCCGTTTCGTCCCCGAGGAAAGCCCCAACACCAACCAGTAGAGAGCGATGCACTTTTTGCAATTCGTCTGTTTCGATGTCGGCTTTTCTTCCTCACTGCCCCTCCTGTCATTCTCGAAATGCATACCGGATAGGGCAGCCTCGGGCCGATTTTTCAGAATTTTCGGCGTGTCCGTCTGGCTTTTTTGCGTCAGGGGGGTTGAATTGGAAACTGCATAATTTAAATCTTTGAGTTTAGTTCCTTGAAAAATCGTCATTTGCTTCCATTCTAGTCAGTTAAGCGATCGAATTGAAAATGAATAAATTAAAGCTCAATTTCGGCGAATTTTGGGCGATTTTCTAAAAAAACTGCATGCCTTTAGATTTCGCTTTTTAGGCTGGGTTTTAACGAAATCCTCATATCAGTTAGATATGAGGATATATGAGGATTCGGTTCGAAATCCATAACATTTGGATTTATACGATCGGAAAATGCATTAATTCTGGAATTTTGGGAGTTTTCAGCTATCGAAAAAAATCGCGAAAAACTATAACTCAAAATTTGCGTTTTCAACGATTACTATATCTTAATTGCAACTTTTTTCACCAGCTCGATTTTTCCAAGAGAAAAATAAAGCAATTTTTTTGGTAATTTCACGAGATCCAAATTCTCGAAAAAATATTTTGCGCGTTCTTGCGATTCGTATAGATGGCATCTCCCCCTCCACCTCTCTCTCTAGCGCCCTTATGATCTGATAGGATGGGCCCTTCCTTTGGATCCTAAGTGCTCATAACCCTCTTCTTCTTCTCTTATATAGAGCCCCTTCCCCCTCCTCGACATCTCATCTGATGCCCCCTCATGCCACACACCTCTAATGGATTTTGGGTATCGAGGGTATCGAGGCAGTATCCGGCTCTTCCCTTCCTTGCCTTCCACTTCTTGCCAACCTCTCTGTATCCCATTTGTCGGGGATTAGCACCCCCTCAAATCCTTTTTATTTTTGAAGCGATTGAGTGGTTGCCAGTACGTGCAGCTCCATGGGGGAAAACTCGAAAATTGACGAAATCGGTTGAAATTTTAGAAATTTGTGGACTGGAATGGGTTAACTGCTTTGAAAACTTGATTTTCGCCTTAAAAACGATTCGAGAAATCGAAAATTCGAGTTATACCGTTTTTAAAAATGGCCTAAATCGCCAAAAGGCTCTCAAAAATAAAAATGCCATATTTTAATGGCTTAACTGTCCCAAAAACTGTAGATTTGATCAAAATCTAGCCGTAAACACTGGAAATAAAAATTATGCCGTTTTTAAAAACGGTCCGTTTCCCTTTAAAGCCTCTGAAAACCCAAAAATTTCGGCTTTAATGACCTAGCTAGCTCGAAACTTCGAATTTTTCGCGGAGCCCAAGCCCAAAAACCCTCATTTAAGGTTATGCAGTTTTTCCCAAAAAAAAAACGATTTGGCAGCCAGTGCGCCGAATGGTGTCATTTATAGCCCCCCATGGCCCACACACACAGCCACACCTCATTCCCTAATCAAATTCCCCCGCTTTCCACTGGGCTATTCCACTGACTTCCGCGGATTACAACTGGACTTTCTGTCTATCTGTCTGTCTGTCTGCTTGTCTGTCCATCTCTGCATTCTCTTTCTTTCCTCAATCATTCTCAATCCACATTATGCACATCATTATGCACTCGTCGAGACACCGCCGACCCAGTCGCCGCACCCATTTTTTGAAGTCTTCCCCTTTTTTCGAGTTTTCCTCTTTCCGACTATGGCTTCCTGGTGTTTTTTCTGACGTCTGACTGCCAGAATAGGGGCAGGGCGGATCAGAATGAAGTCTGGGTGTTGCTTTTTGTTATGAGAAATTATATAGCAGTTTTGGAGCCGATTTTCTTGATTTTCGAGTTTTTCTGCTTCTCAATTCGGGTTAAACTATACTTTACTAGACAGATAAAAGGAAAAAACTG